TCCTCTTCGGTGCGGGCTCAGCAACCGATGCGCTCTCCAAAGGCATTGTTCTCTTATGTCGCTCCCATTCCGCCTCGTATTCCACAGACCATCCCAGACAGTCTTCAACAGCCTTTCTCAGCACGCGCGGTCGACTTCCCAACTCTACGGATGATTCATCCTTTATGTCTTTCTCCTCTTGAGCTTCCTGGGGACTTATCAGGGACAACAACCGTGATTCTTCCCGCCTCCGGGCTTCTCGGTCCATTTTTTCCAGGTAGTCGTCTTGCTTTTGTTCGAGAAGCTGGATTCGCTTCTCCCTCGGCATCCGCGAGGTTGGATGCTCCTCGGACGATGAACCATAGTCCTGTCCATTAAGGTTATCTACTTCCGCACCTTCACTTGCTGCATCAGAGTCGCTATTCTCTGCAGAAGAGTGTTCATCCTCATCGGAGCCAGAGTCGTCAAGATTGTCGCTCACAGGATCTTCCGCATCTGAGATTTCATCCAATGTTGAATCGCTTCTCTTTGAAGTGGTCGACGTTCTTGAGTCTGACCTATTCCTGGAGCGAGATGACAACATTCCCTCCACTTCCTCGTACGACATGGCGGTCTTTGCATCCACTCCTCTTCGATGTGCGTCGTCCACGACTCTCAGACCGTTTCTCCTTGCCAACCCAATCCAGAAAGTGTCGGAGTCCTTTGTGACGCCCAACACATCCAGAGCTGCATGCACGTCTTCAGATCTCACGAGTTCTCCAGGTTGGTAGTCTTTCGACGCGGCAGCACGAATGCGAGACTTGGCAGTGAAAAGAGTCGATTGTATCAACCGACGTGCAAGATTCACAATCAAATCGTAGAATAGAGTTACGCAGTCCAGGGTCAGAGCTGGCCGTTGATCCTCTTCAGCTATATTTTGCCATGAGTCTGGGCTATCAGCATCTTTGTTCATGAAGAAACATTCGCTCAGTTCGAGAAACGTCGAGAGACGAAAAGCTCGGAATGCTCTCTCGGAAATTGGCGCAGGTGTTTCATCAGACTCTTGGCTGCTAGTGTTGTCAGATGTTGTAAATTCGTCGCTTTTCCGATCCAATTCTGCCGCCAGCTCGTGATCAATGAACCACAAGTCATCGCGGTTTTGGCCAACGGTAGCATCGTACTGTTCTTGAAACGCTGACAAAGCAGCCGCGGCCGTGTCAAGGACAGCCTCACATCGACGGCCGATCTCAATAGCAGCGGGGATGTCGGCGTGGGAGATGTTTTTTGGTTGCGCCTCAAACCGCTGGCGGTCAGTCTCCTGGCCCCGCAGGTTGTCCAAGTATGCTTTGATCTCAACCTCGGACTTTGTTGCCACCAACATCGAGAGAGCCTTCAATTCATGCCGGCCTTTCCGCTCCAGGGCGTCGTACAACCTAGCTTTCTCGTCAGGTTGCCAAAGGACCGCCCCAAGCTGAGTTGGCAGTAGATCCTCAGCGACATCGCCTTTGTCCTCAGCGCCAAATGTCTCCTTGAATACGTCGAGATACTGGTCCCGGTAGTGGTTGCGAAGTCGTTCCCATTTTCGATAGTGGAACGCGAGCGGAGCAGAGGCATCCTTGGACGTTTCGAGTGGCACAACGTGGGCATCTCCAGGTGCCTGGACTTCTACATGGATAGCTTCTGACGAGAGATTGTTGACGTCCGTAGGGTCGCCAGTCTCATCCTGGCTGTCGTCGAGATCCATGCTTGACCCGCTTCCTCCAGGTCATATGGCGTGACACCGACTGCGACCACGTCCAGAAGAGTGAGCCGTCAGGTGACATGTTAGTCGAAGGCTAGGGAAGCCTGCAACATCTCTGAAATGAGATAGATGTGGATGGAAAGATTACAATGTGATTGTGTCCGGCGCTCGTTAGTTGTAGAGGAACGCAGTCTCGTAGTCCCGCCAAGCCTCACTTGTTAGAAATTTAAGCGGCCTGATTTGATTGGCTATTTCTGTCTACCACCCACTGGACTCTCTTCAACGCACCTTCAACTTCTTCTGCCATTAGAGACACTGCTCCCCATCTGCCAGCATGCTAGGTATGTTCTTGGTATTCCTGACAAATCTCTTTTCGTTCGGACGGTTCCAAACTTGTCCGTCCCAGCGAGCCTCCTTTGTAATGGGAATAAGAGCACCTAGGAGGCCTAAAACCTTCGAGTGGGACAGACCAAGAATCGAATCGACTTTTACATTCGGACTCGGGGTATTCAAGGCCCGGTCTTGGAGATCCCAAACCGATACCATCACAATCGAAATACGAGTCCTGGTTAGCGCCTCGCGACTGCTCCCCACAATCTAGGTGTGAGGGATCCGTGCCTCGCTACCTCCGGCTGCCATCATGTCTTCAAATGATCTAGTAATCGTCGTATAGAGTGTTTTCTCGGACTTAGAAAGATCCACATCACATCAAATACTTCGCTGGAGAAAGATGAGAAGATAAATCCGAGCTGTGCATGTTCAGGGATAGTCCAGTGAGCGTAGGGCGCCGTAGGAGACAATAGTATAAATGCTGTGCGTGGACGAAGGGTGACGTCCCATCTCGAGCTTCCCTACCATCCTCTACGTCTGCTTCGTTGAGAAACTTGTCTGCTATACCACTTGGATTTCCTAACTCGCGACTACCATATCTCGACAACAATGCTCGTGTTCTTGACCGGTGCTGCCGGGTTCATAGGTCGCGCAACCATTCAAGAACTCCTTGACCACGGTCATCAAGTGTTGGGACTCGCACGAAGCGACGCCTCTGCGGAAGCCATCTCCAAACTTGGGGCACAGGTTCACCGGGGCAGCCTTGAGGACCTAGAGAGTCTGAAGAGCGGCGCGAAGCAAGCTGACGGGGTCATTCACCTTGCATTCGTGAGAATATCCCATTAACCTGTGGAGGAGCCCCGTTTTCGACACTTGCTGACCAGGTGTTGTAGATCCACGATTTCAGCGACTATGCGAAAGCCGCTGCAGTCGACCGAGCCGCTATCGAGGCCATGGGTGAAGCCATGGTTGGTACAGGAAAGCCACTGGTCATCGCCTCTGGCACCCTGGTTGCTGTGAAAGGCAAAATGGCCGTTGAAGGCGCCGAGCCTGATCGTGGAACGGCGTTCGAGACGAGACAGGGAGCGGCGGATCTTGTTGTGAAATTGTCAAAGGAGAAGGGGATCCGCGGCTCGATCATTCGTCTTCCACCCACAGTCCACGGCAAAGACGATGGCGGGCTCATTCCTCGCTTCATCGACATCTCGCGACAGACCGGGTCGGTTATCATCTTGGGCGATGGATCGAGTCGCTGGCCTGCCGTTCATCGCCAGGATGCTGCTGTCCTATTCCGCCTCGCGCTTGAAAAGGGTACACCAGGCGCCTATTACCATGCCGTTGCGGAGCAGGGTGTTCCAATGAAGGACATAGCCGGAGTCGTTGGCAAGAACCTGGGACTACCGGTGGAAAGCAAAACTGTTGAGGAGGCCATGGGGACTCTTGGGTTTCTCGCTTTGGCATTCAGCGCTGATAACCCAACTTCAAGCGAAAAGACGCAGAGGGTGCTCGGGTGGAACCCCAAAGGCTCTGAACAGCCTGGTTTACTAGCAGATATGGAAGCGAACTACTTTTCCTGAGGACGTTCGCATAGCATACGCCTAGATATGAAGCAGATTGGAATAGCCATTCTTTTTACGAAGAGCACTTCTCCTTCCCATCTTCGCCAGTTCCCTGGCCATCTGTTCCGGGTCATCTTTCTTTTTCATGCCCCATAACTTTGGAAGGAAATAGTCAGTCGAACACAGAGCTTGCCTTCCGCTTGCTGTGATCAACGCATGCCGCTCTGATGCCTACATTAGGCGTCGGGGGGCCTCCCTGCTTCCCTAGACATGGTACGCGCATGGACAGGGAAGCGGCTCTCTGAGGTTTGATCGTGGCAAAAGGTCTGCTCCAGGGTATCTGATGCTCCTTCCTTCCACGAAACGCCCAATAACACGTCGGGTAGATGGACGACTGTGGTAAGAGTGGCTTCCTCAGAGAATGGGTGTTAGACGTACCTACCAATACACCAGAGTGCCTCCTGCCTTGTTGTGCCTGTCTAAAGTCGAGATATTAGTCCTTGCGTTCGTCTCTTTACTTCTCACCTCTCACCACACTCTCCATGCTATGCACCACTCCCTTGCTGTCTAGCAGCATTCCATAACAGACTTTGTTGGGACTTTGTTTCCTGACACCCGAGCCTCTCATTCCATGTGGGTCGTGCTCTCCTTCCTCCAAACAGATGCCATCGACTGGCTCAGTGCAGTCTAGCGGTTACACCACGCTGCCAGCTGTCAAGAAGATTGCCTTTGGTACTGGTATGTCTCGAGAAGAAGCTGAAGTTGTGGCTTGCTTTCCTGACATGGCTCGTAGCTATGTCCTCGCACCTCGCAATCGGCGTCGTCATCGCCCGCACCCATCCGTCCCTTCAACACTCTGGAGATGCAGCCCGAAGTCAAAAATTGTGGCAAGACCCCACTTGAAGAGCTCATCATTCTTCGGGTGCCCAAAGGCTTCTGTATTGTGTGAGTTATTAACTCACGCCTGGGAGGAGGCAAGTTACGACTTCAGAGCCAAAGATACGTCTCGGTCATCCTTGGGATGAACCATTCATATTAACGGTTAGGCATAGGCACCCAAGAGACCCGAAGCAAACAACAACAGGGAGCCAGGCGCTATCGTTTATTGAGTCCTCCAGCCTCAACCCGACCCGAATAAATCCAATCTCGTTTGGAGGGAGAGGCTCTTTGTCAAGACGGTTGGTTAGGCAGAAATTGTTGGGCGATTCTATGAGTCATGAGCAGAGAGAGAATACGGACAGTGGTGTGGTGAATTTTAGTTGAAAGTCTTTTGTTGTTAGAACGGGGGCTTCTGTTGCTTTGATCTGCGGCTTTCTGGCTGATCAGTGGCTCGTCGGTTTTGAGTGAAGTAGCACAGCCTTCTGTCAAGTATGTTCGAGAGAAGAATGCATGCAGTATCATAAGGGCTGACATTAGTTCAAGATTCCAAAGGTCGGCGAGAATGAATCCTGATCCGATTTCTGATGATGAATGCTTGTCATCTGCGCAGACCAGATGACCTCTTCATGTTTGTAGGGCTGTTCAGGTTTGAATGCCTCTGTCTATTCCATGTCAGGTTATCAGCTCGGGCGGTAGCCCCTTTCTAGTGCCAAATGTTCCCACCAAGTCCATAGTCAGATCTTTGTTATTCATGAACTCATCCTTTCGTTGATAGGGTTCCTCGAAGTCCCAGCGGACGCTGGCATACTTTCCGTTCAGAAACGAAGCCTTATCTGTAACAAGCCACTCGCAAAACGCACCAGTCAACTCGGCTTTGTCGATGGCCAAATAGGCATATTTATCCTGGAGCATGTCTGTTGCGACTACTCTGGGATTCAACGAAATAGCGGTAACATTTGGAGTTTTCTGCCGCAATCCAAGGGCTGAATCGCCAAGTCAACGAAGCCTGGACAAGAACGAAAGAAAAAGATCTCTGTAATGCATGAATAGGTATATCTGGAGAGCGCTAGTGAAGGCAAGGCAGTGCCAAGGCATCATGGCCTTGGCAACCCACATGGTAGGTGCAGGGGCACCCAAGGGGTAGACAGCAATGGCACAAGGGCAATAATTCAGTAGCAGTTGATCAAGCAGCAAACCGACTTCTCGCCCTCAATCTCTTCCCCCAGCTCCAATACAGCCCCGCCAACAGGGCAGCGCAAACTGCTGTAAGGCCTCCCAACAAGCTCACACCTCCATCGATACCAATACCCTTGAACATCGGTCGTCCCACCAGCACCGCGACGAACGCCAAAAGGGCCCTCGCCACGCTGTTTGCTGCAAAGATGCTCGCTGCATAGCGCGGATAGATGGCCGGAATGTACAAAAAGACCGAGTTGGTCAGAAAATACTGCGCGACCATGTAGAGGAAGATGGCAACGGTGGGAACCATCCAGTGGATAGAGGGTCTAGCTGTCCATGCTACATACATTACCGTTCACACAGGAGAAATTGTTAATTAGCATCTTTACTCTCAATGATCTCGATCGACGACATTGGGCAGGGAAGAGTAGAGTAACGCACAAACTCACCGAACATGAACAAAGATGCTGGCATCAAAAGGCTGGCGGCGACGCCGGTTTCGAGAAAATTCTCCAGATCGCCGAACGTTTGGTCCCGGATTTTGGGTTCGACACGTTTGGACAGCCAGAAGCAGTGGAGTGGGAAGCCGATCGCTCCGGCAGGAACGACTGCTAGCCAGATGAGGGACGTGGAACTTGGCGAGAACCCGTAAATTGGCGGATAGACAAGGGGCAATGACTGAACAGAGTTAGGACCAGAATTTAGTAGTAATGGTAGAAGAGCTGGGGTGCAAGGGATGGATCACAAAGTGGCGTACCTCGAAGAAAGAGTAGACAATCGCATAGATCAAACCCATGTACAAGGTCATGAACAACAGAGCCGGGTCTTTGACGTTGACTTCCCAAGGCTTGATGATTGAACCCCACAGCCGCTGACCAGCCGTGAGCTTCGCTTGTTTGATCTCTTCCTCTGACATGTACCTTTGATCACCTGTCAACTCTCTGAGTCGCTTCGCCCGGTAATACAGGATGGTTGGTGCCGCCGTCTCTGGAACCAAGGCGACAAAGACGACGAAGACGGAGCCCGAAATGATGAGGAGCTCCCAACTGGAGAATCTCCAACCCAGAGACTCGACAGCAAAGGACGACAACATCGGTCCCAAGGCCGGTCCCAAGGCCGTCGTGCACGCCCACAGCCCGATGAAGTATGGGAATAGAGCCGGGCCCCAGATATCGCCAAGCGTTGCCCCGGCGGTGGCCAGGCAAGGGGATCCCATGAAGCCTAACAGGAATCGGAGGACCATGAGCCCCGCATAATTGTCAACCAGCGACGTTGGGACGCACAAGACGACAAAGAGGGCTCCGGAGATTGCATAAGGGGGATTGCGTCCGATCGATGGCACCTCAGAGAGCGGCGAGAACAAGAGACCCCCTAGACCGTATGCCAGGACGTAGATGGCGAGACCGAAGGACGATTGGAAATTGTCCACGCCAAAGTGATACTCGATGCCAGGCTGACTGGATGTGTAGATCGAAGAGCCGACATAGATTGCCCATGTGTAGACACAAGTCAGTGCCGTGATCACACCCTTCTTCACGCCGGAGAAGTTGAGTGGATTTTCGACGTCGTCCGGGCCGTCCCAACCAACAAGGTGCACCGATTTCTCGTTCTCATCAGCCCGGCTCGTCGCCCTGACCGAGTTACTTCCAGCCTTTTCAAGATCGCCGGGATGATGAGGCCAGTAATGCCCGTGAAGACATATGCGGATCAATGCGCTCAAGGCAGAATTTCGAATCATTTGAGCCATCATTCGAGTCCGTGTCGGCTTGCTGGTGACGGTGAAGCTGGACAGAAGCCATTTTTGGCCCAAGTGACTGAGTCTCCCTTTTATACCAGCATTAAATCACCTCCACGCCCTCACTCGGGTTGACGGTGGTGTTAGCGGAGATAAGTCTCGAGACATTGAGTCCGCAACAGCCTCGAAGCTGGGCCTTGATGAGCACCAGTTGAGATATTGCTGGTATCCAGGAGGGGGAACTAAACCATTTGTGGTCAACGACAGGTGGAGAGAGCATCAGAAGTGTCCGACTGGGCCGTTACGTAGACACAGCGGTAAGATTGTATGTGGTTGCCTGCGATGGTGACCAGAACTGTCGCTGTCGGCTTCTTATAGCAGAGGATGTTTGGACCATGATACTTCGATGTCGGGTTCGTATTCATTACAGTACAGAACATGATGTGGTGGGAACTAAACTCGACTGGGTTAAAGGCATGCGGGACGCAAGACAAGGTGCCGAGGATGTTCCAGGTCGGGTCACGTGAATGCGGTTGGCATAAGAATGGGGATTCCCGCCACAACGCACGCTTCTTCGGTGGGATCTATTCCTCATCCTTCTCAAGATTAGCAATCCACCAAACATTCCTTTGTGAAAACGCTGCCGTCTGCTGCGCCTCCTCCTCGATGACCAGGTCTCTACGTAAAGCCTGTCGAGCCTGCACCGCTGCCAAACGGCGATGCATCGTGCAACTGCCTCAATGTCCCCGGTGCCGGACCCGGCAGATCGACTGTGTCTACGACCTCGAACCCTTGATGGGCGGTACTTCAAGAACCAGTACCTCAAGATCCAGTACCAACCTCAGCGCACCAATCGCCGATGACGATGGCGACCTCTCGGTCAACTCCAAATTCCTGCATTACGTTTCATCTTTGCACATGGATCCTAAAAGGGTTGCTCTCGAATGTTACAGGAACCCAACCACTCAATACCCTGTCGTCTGGAGAGTTCCTATCTCTGCCGACTTCCCCACCGTCGAATATTTGGCCCGTAAATTGGTGGATATGGCGGACTCGGTGGCCTTGAGCCAGTCGGCGCCATACATACATCCCCAAAGGAAGCCTCGGCCTCGGCCAGCGCTTCTCGGGCCAGACTTGGACGTTGAAAGTCGAAAGACTACTTACAGTGATATAACTCAGTGTACTAGGCTTAGCGACCTGCTATGCGCACTGCACGATTCTCCCGAACCGCTGTCCGAGATCTTACAAGCCTTTCAAATCCTCCTCGGACACATAATGCGGCTGCTTTTCTCCGGCGACCAGAGCAAACCTCGCCACAAGGAAAAGCTTCTTGGCCATACAAGAAGGTTGGCGGTAAGGTTGGTCAATGACGCGCCCCGTATGATGCCGTCGAATCTCTCTCGATGGGAGGCCTGGATCTTGGCAGAAAGTCTGCGACGAGCAATACTGATGAGCTGTCTCATACAAGGCGTGTATAACGGTTGGACCCGAGGATATTGCTATCACGAGCTCTTCATTCAAGCACTGCCATTCAACGTTCGCCCTGGTATGTGGACTGCTGGGTCCGAAGGGGAATGGGAGGCGCTCTTGGAAATCGGTAACGATAAAGTCGGCTCTGGGAACCACGGAGCAACGGACTTGGTTTCCTTTCGCGAATTTGCATCTAGTTTTGCCAGAGCTCCGTTTGACCCAGGAGCCGATAATTTCCAAAGGCTATTGCTGATGGCGCACCATGGCAAGGCCCCCGTCGACAGGGTGCTGGGTGTGTGAAGAGAAGGCCTATCGCGGCTCACGTACTAGGTCGAGGAATCAACAGCATCCAAACCAATGAACAGCAGAGAGAGGCATGTATATCATGCGATGACTCTGCTGTGCCACAGCACTGCTTGGCACTTGGTAGTCTTCATATACCACAATGCTTCCCGTTCGACTTGGCCCTCGTCGCCTCTTCCTGAGTAGTGTACGAGCTCACATGGTCCTGTACGGTTACCCGGATCATCGCCGTTGTATCTACACAGCCATTCCTTGAGGCTGTGGTGGAGCTATAGTAGTCTTAGAAAGTAGTCCTCCATGCTCGTTAAGATACGAAAAGTTAGTCACCTTATTGGCTGGGGAGGACAAGGCTGCGAGGGCAAGCCTTCCTGCCAGGAGTATTTCAATGGCTGTGGTGGCATTTTCACTCTCGGTCTTTCATGATGAACACACGATAGAGCAATTTCATGCAATATTACTGCTCTCGTTTAGTTCAGACCTTTCGTGTTTACTTTGTCTACCATGATCTACGGCTAGGCGTTCGATGGCCGAGCAAAAGACTAAACACATGAAGCTTGATTGACCCATCAATTTTATCACTTCATACTCCTCTCCTCGGTGTTTGTCCCCCTTAAATGTTTGGCCTCAGAATCGCTCGGGGGGGCTCCCTACGTGACTGTAAAGCCTCCATCAACTGGTAAAGCAACTCCGTTGATGTGAGAAGCGGTGCCACCACTCAGGAAACATATAGTGTCGGCCACCTCGTCCGGACTGGCCAAGCGTGCTTGTGGGATCCTTGCGATCGTGCACGCCAGTGCTCGCTTGGTCGATTCGAGCAGTAGAGGGGTGTCGACGAACCCCGGGCATACCGCGTTGACACGAATTCCTCGTTGCGCGTAGTCGACGGCGTCTGTCCTCGTCAAGCCCAAGACGGCGTGCTTGGACGTGTTGTATGCACTCAGCGAGGGCATTGCCCGGAGGCCCAATGTCGACGCCGTGTTGACGATTGAGCCGCGTTCCAAGGCAGACGGGACCAAAGGATTCACTCGTCGCGCGTCCTGCTTCACCATCTGTTGTAGTTCGTACTTCTCGCACAGGAAAACCCCTTTGACGTTCACACTCATAACTCGATCAAAGTCGGCCGTGTCGGTCTCGTGGGTGAGTCCGTACGGCCGCCCAATCCCGGCGTTGTTGGCGGCGTAGTGTATGGCACCGTATTCGGCGACCACTCGCGCAATGGCCTCGGCCACTTGTTCCTCGGACGCCAGGTCTGCCACGATTGGAAGAAATTGCACTCCCGGATAGGAAGATGCGAGTGTCGATGCAGTTTCTTGGAGACAATTACTGTCAAGGTCCAGTCCAGCGATCCTCGTCACCCCGTGTCGAGCATATCCAAGTACTACAGCCCTCCCGATAGCACCACCCGCGCCCGTAACCAAAGCAACACTATGGTCATCCAAGTCAGTCAGTCGTGAAAAAACCAGGGATGAGGATGAGAATGCGAAAAGTCATCACTGTGGCCGGCTAGACTCTTACCCTGACAAGCTCATGGCCAGTGCCACTTCCGCGGTATCTTCTAGCTTAGTCGTTTGTCGAACGAACCGAATCTTGGGGAGATTAATCAGAAATTTCTTGGAGGTATCACCCTCAATGGTTGTACGGATCTGGACCGCGAGACACTATCGTAGTTCGTCACAAGGGGTAAATACTTGGTTTGGAAGAATAGCAAAGTCTCGATCTATCCTCGTTTGACTTCACTCTCAATACTCCAGACTGGGCGTGCTCCCCGATATGCACCGGCCGGGCAGTCCGGACCGACTTCGGTGACGTGGTCCCGTCGTGAGTACATATCCGCCGACTGGAAGACACCGAATGACAGGCTAGTGAGACTCCATGTTGGCAGACAACCCAAGGGTCCTGAACTATCAGAGTACCCCAAACACTCTGGGGTTAAACCGGGCCGTGGTTTTGAACGAGACATAAATCGTGACTGAGAGGCGGGGGCCAGAAGGGGTTCCCCCAGGGGGCGGTGAAGGCTCATGTCTCCCTCTTTTCGGGGCGCCGTAGCGGTAGAATGAGTATCTACAATATGATAGACAACTCCTTGCCTACGTAGACTTTGGCGAGATGCAGTAAAAGCTCATGTAGATCGGTCAGCTTTACAAATCTCACTCCCCAGCAGGCCTGAGACCAGAGTAGTTGTAAAAGTAATTCTGGCTGAGTAGATATCTCTCTACAATGCTCCCTTATCACCCCGTTGATAACAAAAACATAAGCTTCACTCCCCCCCCCCCCCGGGTCTCGAGCGACTGCAGGACCTATCCTTCACTGAGCAGAACAGTTTCGATTTCTCAATCATCCCATGCTTTCAAAAAGTTGGCGGCACTGGCCATTTCCTGTCTGATCAGATCAACATGCGCCTGACTTCTCGGTTTGAACACGACGGGAAATTCAGCGGGCGTGTGAGAGATGCCCTCGTGGTAATTGTTGACGTCGATGGGCATGGGCTTCCCTGTTTGCGGATCTATCTTGCGATGGATCTCAAAGGCCCATAGGAGCCTCGCGTTCAGGCGCCACTGCGTCCGTTCTGCCAAGTGGATGCCGGGACAGATGCGTCGGCCGGCTCCGTAAGCGTAGTGATCACGGCGCTGCCAGTCCGGGCTCCCCGCGTAGCTGTCTGCCATTCGGGGATATTCTAGGAATCTGTCGGGGTTGTATTTTTCCGGGTCCTTGTACCCTTGACGCTCACTCAAGTGTAATGCCCACGTGGGGAGGATGACGGTGGAATCTTTCGGGATCAGCATCCCCTCGAACCAGTCGTCTTGGTTCACCCGGTGTGGTACGCCGAGGGGAAGACTGTAGGGGCCAACTGTTAGAGGGTGAATATTGTATGACAAGATGGAACTCTCACTTACACGGGATGTATCCTCAACGCTTCTTTGATCAGGCAATTGATGTAAGGGATAGCTTCGAAATCATTGATCGAAGGAAGTCTGTGTTTTGGCACGGTTAGAAAGCTGCTGCCCATGTACTCTTTTTGTGGTTCACTTTACCTGGTCGTTCCGCATACGGCGTCCAGCTGTTTGCGGGCCTTTTCCTGAAACTCCGGGTAAAGGGCCAGATACATGATCGAGGTCAGGGTCGCCGATGCTGTGGTGTCGGCTCCTCCCTCGACAATGACTCCCAAGAAGTGGTTGAGTTGCTTGTCGGTGACATCCAGGTCGCTGTGTTTGTCGCCGTCTAGGATCGAGTCTATGATGGAGTCTCTCTTGATGCCCTTTTCTCGCCTCATGTTGACCCTCCGTCGGGCCTCTGCCCAAGTGTCGTCCATACATTTGTAAGACCCGAGGGCGCGTCTCTTCCACTTGGCGAATCGCTCAGGTATGTATTTCAGGAATGGGAACTCGTCGACCGGCGGATTGGCACCGGGCTCCAGAGACGCCGAGTAGTTGTCCATTGCGTCGTACACGGCCTGCATCGTTTCGTATTAGCCTGCAATCTTGGGAAAGATTCGGTCTTATCTTACCCGGGCCCAGAAATTGTCCATAGTAGGACCACGATGTCCCCAAACCACGGCGCTGGCAACCGAAGACGTTGTGCGTTTGATGTGAGTGTAATATCCTTCTGGGCGATCGAGCATGTTGGCCAGGAGCACAACAGACCTAGATACAATTAGACGAGACCTGCTTAGCAGCACAAGGACGTACTCTGCATCTTGGATATGGCCGACTTTCTCCTCGAGCATCTTGGGCTAAACACACATCATCATCAGCCAGAGCCCCGTTTTTCCCCAGCGTTACAGGTTAGATACTGACCGACAAATTGTGAACTGCCACTTTCCGTTCTGCTCTCCACAGAGGGGTGCTGTTCATGAATGCAAAGCTATCACCGCCCGTGACGAGGGACGGGACATAGCTCTGTGGTCGCTCGGAGTACAAGACTCCCTTCTTGTCAAGGAGATGATGGACTGCCTTTCGATCGAACAGTACTATCACGGTACCGCTGCCGAATTTGAGAGAATAGATCCCGCCATAGGTTTCTCCCCATTCCTTCAGCCTAGCAACATATCTAGTTAGCGTGTGTCCTTTTTTTTCACTCGTCACGGAGCTGCTTGTCTGATTGAACATACTTTAGTCCCATGCCAGTTCGCGGAACCAGGTGTAGATTTCCAAGGATAGGAACAGTGGGTGGGCCCGGCGGCAGTCTTTTGTCTCGTGCCCCTATTCGAGAAATCCGATAGATGATCCAAATGCACAATGCCACCAAGGCCGCCCCAGAGATGGATGTTGGCAGCATCGCCTGAACACTACTTAGAGTAGCCATGATGACGGGGGAGGTAGAAGGGAGTGTCCACCTTGAAAAATCCTCGAGGTGGTTTGAAAGGGTGCATAGGCTCTTTAAGGTCTCAATGGCGATGGGGCCCCTTGTGATGCGTATAAATTAATAAGGAGTTTGACACTGTCGCTCGATATACTTCTATTCGAGAATACGGATTCTGATTGGAGGCCGATCTCGCCATACTTCGGGCCATCTTCGCGCTGAGCCACTTGGTGTGCACAAAGCTTGTGCCGGTAAAATCGCTGGACCTTAGGGAAAGCCGACAACGTATGACGAAGGAACCATTGAGGAAAACTTGACGGGCGACGGGATACTTGCGAGCGGAAAATCACCAAGACTATTGTAGCAGCTCCGATCTCCAGATAAAGTATTTGAAACACAGGTTTTTATTGCGTCCTATCTTTTAATGCCACAGTAGATTTGGATAAACATAGAACATGCCCGATTTCTTTGTCCTAGCCCGTGTCGTCGGGTCAGACGGCGCATTTCCAAAGGTATCTGCCCCTCCAACCAGCACGGGAATGATCAATTGACAAATTTTTGTTCGCCATAGTGGAAAGAGAGACTGGTGCCGCTTTGCGAGGTTTCTGCCACGGAACCATACTCAACATCCTACTACTGGGGTCAGGATATCGACGGAGAACCAGACACGTTATGGGGTCTGGAAGGGTATGCGCACCCCATCGGGTTCTTCATCGGTCACCCAGCGTCTGAAGTTTTCAAGCGAGAGATGAAGAAGGTGGACGAAGACAAACTTCTTCGACACGTTCAAGGGTTGGGAAGCCCGGATTACGACTTACATTACTACGACATGCATTATGGCTTCTTGAGTCGCCCCGATGACAAGGACAAGGACGCCAAAGACAGCTTTGTTGTGGTTATACACTTTTGGTCGCCAGCAGGCCGTCGCAAGCAGCTTCTGGGAGCCTTGTCCGGGGGAGCCGACCGAGTCCGTGCCTCGGAGAACGGTCCTAATATCACTATCCAAAGTTTTGCGATCCTGAAGGAATGTCTCGACGTGAACATGGCTAGTCTCTATATCAGGTAAGTACAAACCACGGTAGTGGGAGACAAGGTCAAGGGAATTCTAACTCAGACGTAGATCGAGAAGCAAGCAAGATTGGGAAACGTTCCAATCTTCTAACGTGTTCAGACAAATCTTGAACGATGTGGCCCCTACAAACGAAAAGTCGGAGATTCACCGATCTCAAGCATTCAACGGCCATATTGACCAACAGCCACCAATTGGACCAGTCTAGGTAGACAGACACAATGCAAGTTGCCTTGATCGGCTCATCGAATCAGCATTTAGAAGAATATGATCATTGCTATTCACCTATACACGTTCAACAACCAAATTGTATTTCACTGCTAGCTGCAGAGGTAGTAGGGACGGATCTTACTCCCGAGCGGTGGTTCTCATTACGATATCGGAGAGACCTCGAGATTCGTCCTGGCTGCAATAGTAACATGCAAAAACTAGTTCTCTAATGATCCCATTTGACACTTCGGAAATTGAACGAGAGTTGCATTTACCTTCCTGGTTCTGCCAGTGTATCGAGTATGCGAGGTTCATCGACGTACCGAGTATAGCTCTAGGATACCAACTCACGGACTATCTTCGCACTAAGTCTGTCCTAGTCCGATTTAGATTCTCCAGGACTGGGGTCCGACCGCTATGGATCTACATCCAGACTAGCTGGATCCGGGTCCGGAGGAGCCGTCTACCCTGTGGGGGATTTCCTGGAGACGGGACCGCCAAACCCACATCAAGGCCGTCCATAATTGACGCAAAACAGACATATAATTCGTGTCCTCCTTACCGGGAGAATCTCTCAGTCTGACGCCAGAAGTGCCTCATTCTTCTTCCTCCCCTACCCTAGAAGTCGAACACTCTATCAGCACAATCCTCTCCTGGAACCACAATGACTGGTCATCTTGATGTCCGAGGGCTCAAAGGCCACACGAGTAGGAAGAACATCTTGGTAGGTTGTTTGTCGCAAATGGTGCGAAGAAGGCTTTCTGACCCCCTGAGATAGCTCATCATTGCCGCGACCTTGGCCAGCTTCAACTATGGCTATTCAAACAATGTCATTGCCGGATCTTTGGCGCAGGTTTCGTTTCTGGCAAAGTTCTTGACCGGGTCTAATGCTACCTCGCTCATCGACGCCATTGTCTCGGGGTGATTATCTCCTTTCTGTGCGCGCGAGGCCACGCTTTTTCTAACGAGTATGGAATAGGTTCTTTGGAGCTGCGCTCATCGGCGGCTTTCTGCAAGCGCCCATCTCCAATCGTTGGGGCCGGAAACGCGCAACCGCAGTTGCAGCTTTCTTTCTCATTTTGGGAAATGCTCTTCAAGCCGGTGCGGTGCACATTGCCATGTTCTTGGTCGGCAGGTACACTACTGGGTTTGGAGCTGGAATGGTCATCAGCAACACCCCAGTGTATATCAGTGAGATATCCCCGGCACACAGCCGTGGTTTACTCGTTGGCCTCCAGGGCAACTTTATCGTCTTTGGGTATATCCTCTCCTCCACCGCCGCTCTGGGCTTCCACTTTGTCGAAACAGACTACCAATGGAGGCTCAACTTTGTCATTGCCACGGCCGTTGCTCTTGCACTACTGGCATCTTTGACCACCCTACCGGAGTCTCCTCGGTGGCTCGTGGAGCACGGCCGGCCTGAAGAGGCTGGCGCAATCCTCGACAGTATACACAAGACGGCAGACGACCCTGATGGCACAGTTGCTCATGCCGAGTTGCACCAGATCATCGCACAGGTTCAGGTTGACCAGACCTTGCCCAGCAGCTGGTTGCACATTCTTCGGAGCCCATCTCTCAGGAAACGCCTCATCTGCACTCTTCTGGTCTGGACCATGGCGCAATCTACGGGTATCACTGTGCTGGCAAACCTGACGCCACAGCTATTCGGCGCTCTGGGCTACGGCACCGTCCTTCAGCTCGCACTCAGCCTGGTGTGGACCGTTTGCCTGTTTATTGGCTGCTTTTTCAACATTTTCCTTGTTGATCGCATCGGCAGAGTGAAATTGATTGGTAAGATATGTATTTCACTACATAACTGGGACATGAATTGCTAACTCCAACCAGTCGCTGGCGGATGGGGCATGGTCATCCTGCTTGCCTGTGAATCCGCTTTACAGGCGCACTACCTCGACGGCAGTAATCTAGCCGGTACAAAGGCTGCAGTAGCAATCTACTTTATCATGGCATGGTGGTTCACTTCGACACTGGAGTGTACTGGCTATGTCTATGGCTGTGAAATCTGGCCAACACACCTACGAAGCAAAGGGTCTGCCATCTCGTACTTTGGCTTCTACGTCTTCTCCATTTGGTCCACGGCACCAGCTGCCCAGGCATTCGCGTCGATTGGATGGAAATACTACATGGTCTTCATTGCCGTGACAATCGCTCTGGTGGTCCCGTGCATGTTCTACCTGCCGGAGGTAAGTCTCCCCTTTCTTCGCACACCATGGCAGACCTTACTGAATGCTACCCTAGACTTCTGGAATCCCGCTCGAGGACCTTGGTGGTTTGTTCGGTGATACTGTGGCCTTGGACTTTGAACACGCCATGGAAGAAGAACTGAAACATGGAAATGGTATAACCCATACTGAAACGACGAGACCAGAAGAGATTGCGGTTCAGGCAAAAGGATCCCCAGCAGACGTGTAGATCTGCACAAGTTCAACCAAGTCAAAGGAAGTGGCATCTGCAACCTCTACAAATGCACAAGCGAAACCTCGGCGATGCGCCATGAGAAAGATGGCATCTTCTCGACCCAGCGCAATAGAACACCATAACACCACACCACTGAAATGGTCATATACCAGTACAGTCATAGCTTTTTTGGAGTCCATAGCATTTATTACTTATCGCACACCCGAATTAGTTCAGCTTTTGTGAACCAGACAAACTTCTCAAGGTGCGATAAGTCTCTATACCTGCGCCACGTCTATCTATATGGTCTTGTCAAATGTTCAACGCTGTGTCTTATGTCTCTATCTCTATCTCAACAGCAAACGACGCTGCACCAGGACCCGAGAAAGCTTTGCATGGCCATTGATCAAACTTGAGCTTCTCCGAGCAACAAAGTGAGCATGCCAGAACTAGCGATGCAACCAACCATCATCTTCGACGCCCCGGTTCTTGGCCCAATCACCATAGACAACTTGCCCCATTTTTTCATGTCAAGCGTAGCCGCTTTCGGCAACACTACATGTGGGGGCCAAGGGGCCTAGCAATAATAGCTGCCAAGTCTTACTCCATCTGGAGTACCTCCGCTGGGTCTAGTCACTGTCCATATGAATAGAACAAAAAAGGGTGCACCATTCTCTTTGCAACGGCGGTAAATCTCCCAGTGAACCCCCCTTGCTTTTCCGAGGCCGCGATGGTTATGGCTTTACCCCCATCCCCATCCGCATCGGCGTACAATAACACCTGGAAGCGTACCGAAGTCTGTGCGAAGAATGCATGCCACCGTTGGGGCTTCCAGCGGTCCACCCCTGTGTCCGGAGTGTGTGCAGACAGCATGGGCCACAACGGCAGCAAAAAACCTCTGAAGCGTGTGCCGGACGAGTGGCCGCCGTATTATGTGATTTTGATCCATCCATCCAGTCCTTGAGGTTCCTGACGGTCGTGCAGCTCTGACTGACGGATTGACTGACTGAAGCCAGCGGCGTAAACTTGACTCTATTGCCCAAGCAAGTAATTGGTAGCCACCGGGGGTCGACTTGTATATGCCGGACAGAACAGGCGCCTGGACAACCGAATTGGCCATTGCTCTTTCCTGCCAACTCACCTGGCCCAAACTCCGCCCTCGCGGGTATGGCCTTCACGTTTGTACTTCTCTCGAAATTTCCGTCCAAGGTCTTTGAGCCCGTCTAGTCCAAGACTCACTCGTGTAGCCCAGAACAAGAGTGCAGCCTTTGCTTGCCACGTAGGTTCTCTGCAAATGGCAGCTCCAATAGCTGCAGCTCCGAATCGTTGACGGACGAATATTGGCTGGTGGTGGAAGAAAGACGTACCTCTAGTTCTACTTCACCTCTTTTTTAAGTACGCCTTGTATCCGTCTCCGTCAAAGTCAAGTGATGGGTGGCTCCTCACGAGTGTTATCCAGGGGAGCTTGTGGTTGGCCTCAGATGCTGCATCCTATATCACCGATATTGCGTTCGCACAGTGTGAGTCGGTATTCTACCCGCTAATTCGAACAGTTGCTATCAGTCTTCACGTTCTTGCGTTCTTTGTGTAGAAATAACTCGAAATGCCCCATCCACCGAGGCAGGTGTAGAAACGTCAAGATGATCTTGGATCTATTCTGGCTAATCCGCTGTGAAAACCTCCCTCGCTCACTTCACTTCCCGGCAATTCCAAATTCAGGAATATCCTCCATCTCCTTCCCATGCGCCAATCGAATGATGTACTTGACTTGATCCAGGGTACTGTTGGCCAAGAAGGGAGTCTCGTCCCTGCCGCAGACCTTGTCCCAGTCCGCGAGGAACCCCTCGGGGGTGTCGGAGATTTTGCCTGGGAAAGTCGCCAGCGTCTCGCGTGCGGCCCGGTTGGCACTGGCGGAGAAGACCTCGCCGGATGATGGGCACTCTTCTGAGCAGAGGGCGATGACGAACGGGACGACTCCCTTTTTTTTTTGGTAACTGGTAGTCAGTATCGCGGTTTCTGTCTCCGAGGAAGAAGAACAGACAAGATGACGAACCTCGGGGGGAAAGTATGTGCGAGTGATCTTCTTGGTGCCTTCGGACAAATCTCCCATGCGAGACGCCGCCGACGGCATGATACAGTTGATCTTGATCCCATCTCTCTCGGACCACCTGCCCAGTTCCCGCGTGATTGCAAAGACGGCGCCCTTGGACGCGCCGTACGCGCAGTCTCCCCCCGCGCCGAAACCGTAGATCGCATTCGACGACACGTTCACGACCCTGCCGTATCGCTGCTTCGCCATGACCGAGTACGCCGCGCTGGTGACCATGGTGGTGCCGAGGACTGAGATCTCGAGCACGCGCATGAACGCGGCCGCGTCGACGTCGTCGTGCGGGCTCATTTTGCCCGTGATGCCCGCGTTGTTGATCAGGATGTGCACCCCGCCGAATTCCTTGACGGCCGTCTGGACAATGTCTTTGGCGTCTTTGGACACGTCGCCGTTGTGCGCGACGGCGACACCGCCCGCAGCCCTGATCTCGTCCACCACGGCTTGTGCTCGTGTGATGGCTCCGGCTTGTCCCTGGAGGTCGCCGCCGTAGTCGTTCACCAGCACTTTGGCTCCCCTGGCAGCCAGGGCGAGGGCGTACAGTCGACCTAGGCCAAGGCCCGCGCCAGTGACAATCGCTACTTTGCCCTGTACTGACATGATTTCCCGTGATACAGACCTTTGAACGAGGACCAAAGGGGGCTTTTGGACTACTTTTTCTGTGTTCCCTTTCTTCTCATGGATATTCGCTAATAGATGTTTCTTGGGCAGATTAGCGACGCTATACCTGAAGAAATTTGGGGTCAATACATAATAGTGGATAGAGTCAGTGATGCTGGACACCGAAGATGGTCCGGCCCGGGGAAAACGTCACGATAATCACTCGAGTCCGAATGTCTAGAATTTTGTATGTCTCGACACGATATCGCTCCAAGCTAATCCCTCCGCCTACAGGTGTACCGAGTACTCTGATGCTACTCACAATCGGCGAAACACTAGTCGTATTGACTCAAAAATTCCAATGCACCAGTCAGCTCCCGTCGAATCACCTCCCCGTGGAGTTCACTGCGAGGCTTGACCGACACTTCAAACTCCAAAGGCCGCACCAGATTCGACGAGGTGTAGGCGTTGACGTCGAGCGGCTTCTCGGGGATCTCTTTGAACTCGAAAGCCCAGAGTAATTTGGCCGTGACACGCCACATACTTCTCTCAGCCAGGTGAATGCCCGGACACATGCGGCGACCTGCTCCATATCCGTAATGGTGTAAACTTGAAAAGGTCAGCAAGGTCCAAATATAGCCGATGAAAACTGAGAGAAGGGTAAAACTTATCTCGTCCTTGCCAGTCAGGGCCCACGGCGTAGTCACTTGCCAACTTGGTGTGGTTCTTGAATCGATCCGGATTGAAACGGTCGTGGTCGGGAAACTCGTCGTCACTCTGGTGAATGGCCCAAGCGGCGAGCCAGACCGTGCTGTCTTTGGGGAAAAACATGCCCTCGTACCAGTCGTCTAGAAGAAATTGAGTGTTTTGTTCTAGGAGGTGACTTTCTTCGCTACTCACCTTTGGCCAGTCGATGCGGGATTCCAAGATCAGATCTGTCGCCCAGGGAACGTTAGTACTCGGTACCTTGGCTAGAGGCCCCGGCTCATCATGATGGAGAAAAAAGACTTACGTTGGGCGCCATCTGAGGGCCTCTTTGATGATGCAGTTGATGTAGGGTAATTTGTCAAAGTCGGAAAACAGTGGTGTTCGCTCGGTCCCACAAACTGCATCCAGTTCTTTTCTTGCCTTGATTTGAACCTCGGGAAACTTGGTTACGGCCAGGATGATTGTCAAAAGCATGTTTGCGGTAGCTAATTGTCGCGGTGTAGTCAGCTCACGTCCAAATCTCCTGTTTGAAAAGGAAGAACGCACTGTCTGCTCCTGCCTCGAGCAATTCTCCAAACAAGTTGTTGAACGCGTACTGCGACATGGGCCATCCGTCCTTCTCGTACTGTGCCAGCTTGACATCGATCATCGAGTCGCGAATGTCGCCTCTTTGACGCCGCTCCTCAACCATCTGGCGCGCCCTGGACCACGTCGAGTCCATCAAGCCCCTGACGTGGATCGCCCTCTTTTTCCACTTTCCAGGGAGGTACCATAGAAATGGTAGCTGCTCGACCGGGGGATTTGCACCAGGCTCTATAGCGTCAAGCCACTAACAAAAAGAAAAGCGTCAACTTGTGTGAATAGGTCTCATTCAAAAGTGACATGCGCCTACCTGATCAACGAACGAGTAAAAGTCCTTGTAAAAGAACGAGTCGAAATCTTTGGCCCGAAATCCCCAAGCTAGGATGGCAGCAACCGATGAGGCGTAGAGACGAGCGTAGTCAAACGCCTGGTTCGGATGTTGGACGAGATTGTGCATGAACAAAATTGACCTGTGGCGAGACTCGTCAGTCGATCATATTTCTCGGCTCCCAAACCAGAGCGATGGATCATACTCTGCCTCTTGAACCTTGAAATGCTTCTTGTCGAGATTCTGAGGGTTGAGGTTTCTGGTGATGACGGAGCGTTTTTCTCTCCAGCCAGGGGTGGCTTGCTCAAAGGTCATATGGCATCCTCGACTCATGAATGTCGGTACGGCGAGGTATGGTCTTTCGGAGTAGATGCTGCCTTTCTGGTCGAGAAGCGAGTAGATGGCCTTGCGATCTGCCAAAACGATCATGGTCGAGTTGAAGACTTTGAGCGAGTATATTTTGCCATATTCTTGAGCCCATTCGTGGAACCTGGGGGAGACAGTAGTAGTGTGTTAGCCATGTAGCTATCTAGCTGAAATTCATGTCGTATACTATCGGTGCAACGAACTTCTTGCCCAAACCTGTCAGTGGGATTTGATGAGCGTTTCCCAGGATCGGTACAGTCGGTGGTCCTGGCGGAAGTCTACGGTCTCGTCGTCCGATTCTCAGCAACCTCCATATCCCGAGAACGAAGACGGCGGCGATGGCTAGACGCAAATAGCCAGTCATGATGGCAATTCGACAGTGGCGCAAATGTCTTTCTGGTCAGAGATGGCCCGGTTTGAGCTTGTCCGAAGGGGGTAGACCTGGGAATAGTTATATATGCTCGCCAGCGACTGGCAAGGAAAGTGGGCTCGGTCGAATTTACACGGGAGCGGAGATAGTCCGGGGTGCTTTCATTGACTGGCTCTATTACAGTACTATGGAATGCGAGGATTGACTCCCTAGAGTCGGTTACCATCTCAAGACAAGTCCAAGGGACGGACTGGGTCCACAGGTCCAGTACATGCTTCCCCAGTCGCGGCCGCTGTCTTGCCACTGTCGCATAGAATCATCTGACCGTTGATGGATGAAGACAGCCCTGAAGCCAAGAACAACTGCACACTGGCAATCTCGTCTGGGTCTTGAAGTCGGTTGTAATAGTACTCGGGCTTCTTCAACAGCCCTGCTCGGTCAAAAAACCACATGTGGTTCTGCTTCAGTTGCTCCTCATCCTCTCCGCTCTGGTATTCACCTTGCTCGGCCTTTTGAGAATTGGTCAAGATGCCACTCTTGGTGAAGCCCGGAGCCACGCCATTTACACGAATGTTACTCGACGACAATTGAACCGAACCAGCGCTAATCAGACCGTGCAAGGCGGTTTTGGCGATAGCTATAACCGGTGCTTTCAGTAAGATGCCCATCACAAAATCCCATCTGCCGCATTCTTCACTTACCGTATGGTAAATCGCTATATGAGCCGAGAAACCCAGCACACGAACCGGTGACCACAAAGACGCCCCCTGGCTGAGGCTTTTCCTTGGATGTCACCATCATGGCTTGACTGCCATATTTGATACCGAGAAAGGCTCCACGGGTCATGACATTGAGTTGACGATCGTAGTGACTCATCTCAGTGTCATTAAGGCTCCTAGGAGGGCAAAAAATGGATCAGTGATGATGCTGCTGCTGCGAAAAGTGGCCCAAGTACTCATTACCTATAGTTGGCAAACCCAGCATTCGCAATGTAGAAATCAAAGCGACCGTGAGCCTTGGTGATCTCTTTGACGACAGCCACAGTCTGCTCCTCACTCGACACGTCGAGCTGTTTGCCTTGTATGATCGACGTGTATCCGGCCTTTTTGCATTCTTCCCGTAGGGACTCGATGGCACTGAGGTTCAAGTCGCACGCGTAGATGGCTTTGGCTCCTGCTGAGGCAAACTTCTTGACACATTCTCTCCCGATACCATAGGGAGTTCCAGCTCCGGTGATCAATCCGACCTGGCCCTCAAGTAATCCGAAATTAGACGACATGGCTAGTTTAACCAATGGTTGTAGAATTTGCCGGCAGAAACACCCCTTTATCACTCACTCTTAAGAGGGCTTTTGTAGTTTGCCAAGTTGGCATTGTATCAGAATCAACTGTCCGGACAAACTCACTACGACGCGCAATAATAGGGCTCCATGTTCATTCCCCGAAGTGAAGTGGCTCTCCACCCCGAAAGGACTTTGCCGAAGATGCGATGCGGAATTACTGTGTATATATTTGTGCACACGGCATATCACTGGCCAAAAATTTAAGAAGCACTAGTCGGGATGGTATAGATAATTTTTTGTATACCTAGGATATGCTAGACTCGACCTCCTCTTCCTCTCCGGCTTCTGCTACGTAGCACCAAAGACTCCTTTCGTGTCTTTGCCCTGCGCCCAGATCTTCTTCAACCACATGTGTGAAATCCTCCACCCCTTTGCCGTACGTTGGAACTCGAATCGATAAGGCCCGCCAAAAGCGTAGTTGATGTCCGGCTTTGATGTGTCGGGCGTTGCACAGAACCAGAGATATGCGGTCCCCGTTGCCCGGTCTGAACCATCAACCACGAACTCCATATTGGTCAGGGTGTGCTGAAGGCCGTCGAAGACTTGTTCGGCGCTGGCTGTTTTCGCGATGTTCTCCTTGCCGACGACGTCGCCCCAGGACTCGAAGGTCATGACGGCTCCATCGTCAATGTATGTATCGGCGTAGCCCTTCCAGTCTTTGGCGTCGGCAGTTGTACAGTATCGATTGAGAAGTGTTTGGAGCTGCTGCCTGTCCTCGAGGAGCTTGAGACGGCTTTCGAGTTGTGCTATTATGTCACTGTGGTCTGCCATGGCCGAATGGTTTTCGGCGGGCTGTTGTTGACAAAATGAATGTGACTGTGGCTTTTTGCTAGTTTTCACTTTTCAACCGTGCGGTCTCATAATTCAATATATCTTCCACGACAACTTGGAGATCGGTTTGCGAGCCGAGGCGCACTCATGGGGAATGAGACGAGAAGTTCCCAATTGTGCGTCGCCCGAACCACATACGCCCACTAGGATGTACATGTCAACGACCGAAGTCATTCCGATCCAGATTTCGGTCCTCCACATAAGGATTCCCAAAGCTTGAACTGCCGTCCCTGACTCGGCCCTACTTCCCGACTTTGAGAATTCGATTCGGACAAACTCTGCTGAGTACGGGGTAGGTCTCGAGTTTCAGTTGGTGGTAGACAGCCTGGGGGGCATAAGTTTGGCATACGATGATTTTTCCAGACACTGATATTTTCAATAGACCAAGCTTTCATCCAACACCATAATACACATCTAAATTGGGTGCAATGGGTATAAAGGGCAAAGTGTTTGCCGTCACTGGCGCTGGTTCAGGAATTGGAAGAGCCACCGCGATCCGACTCGCAGAATTAGATGCCATTGGCATCGCCATCAGTGACCTAGACCAGCCTGGCCTGATAGAGACGCAAAAGTTATGTATGCTTTTGTATGTCACCCTGAGGCGTTCGCACCGCTAATTGACGAACGTGAAGGTAGCCAGTACTCAGGAGCAGAAGTCACTACCACCAGAGTCGATGCCAGCAATGCCGAACAGGTTGACTTGTGGCTCAAGGACACGGTAAAGCGCTTCCAAAGGCTTGATGGAGCAGCAAACATCGCAGGTATTGCAGGCGGGGACGGTCAAAGCACCGAGTCCATTGTACGTGTAATGAATCTCTTGCGAAGCCTTGGTTGCTATGCTAACATGTCGGAATAGGACCAAGCAGCCTGGGAGAAAATGCTGGCGGTCAACCTCACGGGCGTGATGATCTGTATGAGGGCCGAGCTCCCGCACCTTACCAGGCCAGGGGGTTCCATCGTCAACGTTTCGAGTACTTCGGGCCTGCGAGGTCTACCCAACAATGCAGCATACGCAGCGAGTAAGTTTGGTGTACTCGGCTTGACCGAATCTACGGCTGCGGAATACGGCAAGCAGGGAATCAGAGTCAATGCAGTTCTACCGTGTGTGACTGTGTCCCCAATCGTGCAGCACAAGTCTACTAACCTTTTGTCGCAGAGGCCCGATCGACACCAGGATCTTTCGTGAAGGTGAAGCAAAGGGACTTTTTAATGCCGACGTTGTGAGTGCCGGCACTTTGATGGGTCGTATGGGTCGAGCCGAAGAAGTGGCCAAAGTCATTGCTTTCTTGCTGAGCGATGATGCCTCGTATGTTACGGGGGGTGAGGAATACCTTCTTTTTTCTACTTGCATCATTACTGATGACGGCCACAGCACGGTGGACAGTCGACGGCGGGTATTCGGCATGCGGTTTCTACAGGGCAGGTTGAGGAGGTGCAACAAATTCGGGGAGTTCAGAAGACAATGAGATGGAGATGACTTCCCAAGCATGACACTGTATACAGCGTGGTCAATGACTATACCCAACTACGGACTACCATGTACGAGGTTTCAGATCCACCATATGCCAGGTATTCACAAAGACGGCATTAGTAAATCCTTGAGCCCGTCAGAATCTGAGACAACTCCTTTTTACTTGTATTGCTGCAATGTAGCTCTCCTGCTCGCCGCTACAACTACATAGCCACATCTTGCATGTACTAGTCAAACGTAATGACAGCTCTACCAATCAGTTTCCCATCTCGCAGAGCCTGATACGCTTCCGGAATCTTGTCGAATGAGAAGCGGTCGACGTCGATCCTGAGTTTCCCTATCGAAGCAAGATAGCACACCTCCTCCAGATCTCTGCGTGTCGACCCTAAGCTGATTGCAAACTCGCAGCTCGTGGCGATCTTGTTCCACCCAACCTCGACCGAGCCCATGTCCATGCCCACCAGCACCACTCGACCCTGTGGCCTGGACAGTTCCATGGCCATCTTCAACGTCGAGTTGTTTCCCACAAAGTCGAGGATACCGTCGATTCCCTTGCCGCCCGTTTCGTCCAGAATTTCTTTCGTGGCATTCGAGCCCGCCTTGAACACACGTTTGGCTCCCAGATCTCGAGCAATCTGGATGCGGCTCTCGTTGGCATCGATCCCGTACACCTTGACCCCCATCAACAGCAGAAGAAATTGGATTGCGTAAGATCCCAGTCCTCCACACCCAATTACCAGCGCCGATGATCCTGGCCGCAGACGGTCCTTGATCGTGCCCACAGCGTGGTATGCCGTCACCCCAGCGTCGGTCAGTGGCGCGTACTTGACGGGATCCTCGTCACCAATGCTGACGAGCTGGTCGCGGGGGCAGATCATAAACTCTGCAAGACCGCCGTCGAAGCCAGTGCCACGAGTAATCTCGATCGCTCCACGCTTGTATGTCTGGCAGTGCTGCTCGATGCCCCGGATGCAGAATTCGCAGTGCGAGCAGTGCGGCATGTGGCGGACGGCGACTCCCTCGCCCACCTTCAAGTCGGTCACACCCTCTCCCAACACTTCAATCACCCCGGCGTTCTCATGCCCCAACGTGTAGGGAGCATCGATAGCTGACGCATATGGATCTGAGCCCGGTAACGAATCGACCATGTCGAGATCGGACCGACAGAGGCCCGCAGCTTTCATCCGGATGAGTACTTCTCCCTCTTTTGGTGAGGGAATCGGCACTTCACAGTACTGCCCGGGTTTACCGAATTCCACCAGGCGGAAAGCCTTCATCGTTTTGCCAGGCATTTTCGTTGTTTTGTTTGTTAGATTTTTTCAAGAGAGGTTTCTGCTTATGTTTGTGTAGGGTTTTCACACTCTGTTTTGTCTAAGAATTCAACGAATATAGACACGTAAGTGGAAACATGCATATCAACCTCAAGTTCCGAGGCAAGGCTACAAAGTGGTTTATTTCTACCCTGTGTCGATCCCATGCCATGGACTCCTCCGCCAAGATGTGCACATGTCGGTATTGAAATCCAAGTCAAAGAGGACAGAACAACAACAGTACCATTACCCATGGTCTCGACAAAGATGCTAGAAAGAGTGCCGAAATTCGTCCGGCCATCTGGGGTTCATGAAGCGAAGATCCACTTCCCCAAAAGAAAGACCGACAGCTCCAATCAAGCCAATTCCCCATCTTGGTCAATAGGCGAAATGCCACCGTACTTCCGACTTCGTTGACTCGAACTATGCTGAATGCCAGAAAACCGACGCCAAGCTGAGCGCATCTCAGAGAAGTTCGTATGCCAGACTTGAGCTTTAAAACGGCATGACTCCCCGGACGTTGGTAGATGATTGCTTGGAGTATTGTCTTCACTTTCTGTGTCAATCCAGCGGATATGCGTCAATTCAAAAGTCATCTTGCCAGACATGGCTGACACGACTTTTGCGATCAATCACTTTGCTTTGTCTGTGAACCATCTCGTCCAGGCTATTCGATGGTACACAGAAACCGTGGGATTCTGCAAATCATTTTCCTGGCACGTATGGAATTATCTTCCGCAATGCCAAGAAAGAGAGCAAATGGAAAGAGCGGGAAGGACAAGGCGCTGGTGACTGCCTACCTCGACCCAGCGAGGTGGTTGCGGCCGAAATTGGAGCGAAGTCTTTCCGCCAATGAGAGTCGACAAGATGTCATTAATTCTGTACCCTGCTTGCCTGCGCTCCGTCTCACATCGTCTGGCGCATGCCAGATTGGTCGAGTCGGCCAGATCAAGCAAACGAGACCCTCGTATCCGCACCCTGTGGAATCCACCATGGATCTATACCCCGCCATCTTTTGCCGTCTGGCCCGGAATGACCCCCGGTGTCAGGGAGGGAAAGAGAGAATCTGAGATTGGAAAGCTGGGGAACCCCAGCGATCACTCAAGATGTGCCACTTCAACACCACCCCCACAGATTCTAGCGCTGATATTCGTGCAATTCTCCTCTCTTTCAAACCATCTCGTCGATTTGACCATTCGAAACACACCGAACAGCCTCTTCCCTTGGATGCCACACCATGGCCTCATTCCCTACATACGGAACCAGCGCGGGCTCAGGCTCTTCTGTATCCAACATTGCATGCTGCTCGTGCCGCCGGAGAAAGGTCAAGTGTACGCGGGAAATCCCTCAGTGCGGAATTTGTCTGCAAACAAATCAGGCCTGCGAATATCCCGCCAGTTCGACTCGGCCAGGACCAAAAATCGGAAGCACTCAGCAGGCGCGAAAGCGCAAACATGGGTCAATTGTTGAGGAGCAGCGGGAACAAGAGTCTGCGACGGACAGGATCCGTGGTGGCCAGGCTACGCAGCCTGAGCAGTCTGGACACGCTCAGGAGAAACAGGCCCAGCAACCAGCGCTCCGACTGACGCCGCCATCAGAACACCAGCAGACGCGCCTGTTACCACAACCACAACCGCACCCGCCGCTGCAGCCGAATTCCCCTTCATCCGCGTCGCATGCGCAATCCCATCAACCAGAGCTGCAGCCTCGTCGCACACCAATGCCATCGCACATGCTGCCTCTTCCTCAGCCATCGGGGATGCCATTGGCGGCCACACTCTATCAAGCTTCATCGCCGTCGACTTCAGTGTCAAGCGGCTTGTCTCGGCGTTCGCACGATATCCAGTCCCTCTCGTTTATCATGCACCCCTCGCACGAACGGCTGTCCGAGGATTCGTTGACTGACCCCAAAGTCATCGTGGATGACAGTTTAAGCGGGCAATCGACCCTCGAGTCCACCTGCCACGCGCTCGGTCTAGCGCAGGATGATTTGCAGACGCTGTAAGCTCCTCCTGTTCTCGTGCGCACGTCAAAATATCGTTTCTAACTTGGAAATGCCCAGGGTCGACGAATTTTTCGACACCTTCCCATCTTTCCAGCTCTTCCACCGCCCCACCTTTTGGGACAAGTTGCAACAGATCAAGAGCAAAAACGAGCTTAACGCTCTTGTCGCCGCAATCCTCATCTTCGCCTTCCGAGATCAGGACGCCGGCCACGACCCCTGCATAGCGGCGGCAGCGGCCCTAATCAACCTCGATTCGACCAAGGACTTGTCCCAACACTTTGGAAATTTGGCCGAGCAGTTTGCCGAACGAGCCATGCTCGAGTATAGCGAACAAGGAGTGCCATTGTCGCTTCTGCAAGCCATGATTCTGATCAACCATTGGCAGCTGATCAAGTCAGTTCGAGGAAAGTCGTGGCGATATTTGGGCGTTTGTATCCGCTGCGCCTACGAGATGAATCTCCACGCGGTCGACAAAGGCGGAGAACCGCACGACAAGATCGAGGACGTCGACCAATGGCGTGAAGATGAAGAAAAGCGGCGGGCATGGTGGGCGATATGGGAGATGGACGTTTTTGCAAGCGTAGTGCGCCGCTGTCCCACGGGCATTGACTGGTCTTGCAACGAAACATTTCTCCCGGCGCCCGACAAGAACTGGTTTTTGAACGAGCCGCAGGAAAGCTGCTACCTGGACCCGAACATCGTCCACCGGTGGAAGAAGTTGAGATCATCAGGGAACAAGTCGTACAAAGCGTGGTTCCTGGTGGTTGACAGCATCGTCAAGGACGCGCAGAATGTGACCCAAGGGGACGACAATCATCTGCACCCGATCAAGGCTCTCGAGAAATCCCGACAGGCCAAGTACTTCGACCCTACGCAGATCCAACTCGACCAGAATCGCCGAGTCCGAGAAGCGCGTGAAGGCTATAACAAGGTGAGCACTCTTCACAACGTGCTGGAATGCGCCGTCGAAATGATGCCTGCCGAGCTTCGATACCGGAATCAATTTCTCAATTTCTCTCCTCGGGATTCCGAGTCCCCCGCCACCTCAACACGCCTGCTGCACCAAGAAATTTACACCATGCATATGGTGGTACAGCTAGCCCGGCTGATGATATACAAATACTTTGTCTTTCGAGGTCAAATGAGCTGGATCCACCTCGAGACAGAACTCGCCAAATTCAAGGAACATGCCGAGAGCGGACTTGCACCGCAGCGACAATTTGGCAGCACGGCGCCCAACAATGCCGCGAGACAGTGCTTTGTCCTGTATCTCCAGGCATCTCAGAGCGTCGTCAATATCATTCAGCGGACCCCTAGGGACCACTACAAGTTTGTGAATCCATTTTTGGCCAATACAGTATGGCTGGCGACCGCGGTTCAGATTCTGAAGCGCGAATTGTTACAAACCGATAACTCGGAAAAGCAATTGACTGCATCCAATGCGGAGTTGCTCCGGATGACATACCTCCAGTTCGAAAGCTACTGGGGCATATCAAGCATGCTGGAGAAGAACCTCTCTGCGCTAGAAGTCGAGCTGAATAACACTCGGGACAGTTCGCGCAAGACGAGGTCCATCGAAAGAGATCTGGAACTGTCACCACGGCCATCTGTAGCACCATTGTCAAACTTTGGAGGATATGTCCCTTATGATGGTCCGCATCAGTGGCGTGAGCCTAGCATAGACGCCAGTCGACGTCGCCCCTCTCAAGCACGGCCCGCTTCTTCCAATCATGAAATCCCTCCACAGACGCTCACGCCCCCGATATCTGCTCGAGACAATGCACCTGATCAGGCGGGCACTGCGGCGTTGCACGAATCTTCTCATGAAGTCCACCACCGGAACAACAACAACAACAACAACGCCGCCACGACCATGACACAGCGCATACACACTCCTTCATCAGAAAATGGTCGGTCCATATTGCGTGACCCAAGGCGTTCGGACCAGAACACAGTCGGCCAGATGCCAAGCACAACCTTTGCACCCGACAGTCAGCCAGCCAGCTATCATGTCCAAGCCAACAGAAGCCTTGAGCAAGATCCGTTCCTGACCGGCATACAAAATGACGCCATGATGTCGAATTCGCCAGGTCTTTTCAATTCGTTTAATTCCTTCTTTTCCCTTTATGACAGTGGCGCCACGTCCATGGGAGGTCCTGGGGAATTATCTGGCACTCTGGACAGCATGATGTCTGGCGCCTTTGTGTAAGCCATTGTCGTTCGATCGACCGAGTCGCGCTTGACTTCTTCGAGAAGCTGGTATTAGGGCTGTTGTAACCAACCAGCTGGTGTGACGAGATATGGGAAATTATGTGCGGGTGACAGGACGGAAAGATGCCTTCTTCACTTCATGGAGGTGGACAAGGGGAACAACAAGGGTTTTGGAAACCATCACTTGAGCTTGGCACATGCCGTAGTAGAGTATTATCGCACATGGGATGAATGACCTTGTGAGGCTTTTGGCGCTCTGAGGGTTGACGAGTATTGAGACTTCCTCTCTCTGCTCAATCCATGCCTTGTTCAGCTCGTTATGGATATCTCTCCTTTTTTTTTGGCAGTCCGAAACAAGTGGTGCGTTTGTTTTTATCCTACATTTTTCTTCTCATTCTTATACACCACATGTCATAATGTCGAGCGGGCAGTACTCTCCAAGTGAGCGGCCGGCCGGCCGGCCGACAGACCGACCGACCGTCCAACCGACCTACTTGGTATGTAGTTCCATGTATTTCCTTGTGGTTGGTCAGCTGCTTGTACGGGCGACAACAACAATAACTAGTCGGTACCTTGTAGCCTTTGGGAAAACAAATCAATCAGTCAATTCGTCTTGGTGTCCAAATCGGCGTCGTCTTCTTTCCCCACGACTGTTTTCGTTTCCGTTTCCGTTTCCGCGACGGGTTCTTGTTCTTGTTGTTCTTGTTGATCTTGTTGTTGTTCCTTTTGCAGTCTGATGGCGACCGTGTCGTTGAGCTGGTGACTGAGCTGTATAGTTTTGTCGAGGGGTCATCAGTACACACGTTCTACTCGGTAACTTGGAACCAGTAATAACCCAAAAAAAAAGAATGTTGGAGAGGGGGAAAGAAAAAAGTAGGATTTTACTTACGTCTTTGACAAAGATGGTGCAGATGAGAGAGACGGCGCCGAATGCGATGGACGAGAGCCAGACGTATCTGGTTTCGTTGGTGTTAGCTCTTTTGTCTTCTTCTTCCTCTTCGCTCTGGGGTAATGTAGAGACCACGCACCTAAACGACGCGACGTACGCAGACTTGACGGCGTGGCTGACCGCGACGCCAATCTCGGCCGTGTATCCCGGGACGTCGGTGACGGGTCCCCCCGTCGCGGTCAACATGGCCCCCAAGAGCTGATCGACCGACGAACTCGGCAGGCCGTTTCGCAGTGCCGCCGCGGCCACGTAGGCGGGGACCTTGTCGGCGCTCCTCGACGAGAAGATGGACGAGTAGACGGCCGTGCCGACGGCGCCCCCGCCAAACCGGAACAGCGACAGCATGCCCCCTGCGAAACCGCTGGACCGACGCCACAGGGGAGTTGTGTGTCAGTGAGGAAGGTTTTTCGTTGATGTTTTGTTGACGACAACGGGAAAGGCGGAGAGAGCATATATCTCGTATGGGCGGTACTTACATGTATTTGTCCGGGACTGAAAACTGGATCAGGAGGACCGAGAGAGAGACAGATGATCCTAACGACGGAGAGTTAGGGACTCGTAAAACCTTTGCTTATTCAAATCCCCCGGGGGGGGGGGGGGGGGGAGGGGAAGAGAGAAAGGGAAAAACATACCGAGCCCTACAGCTCCAAAAAAGGAGAATGCCAGTGCCATTGGTCGTTGGTTTTGATCTGTTGTTGCGCTGTTTTCAGTACTGGCATATTTCTCGAGATTTGCCTTCTCGTCCAGCCTGGCGCGGACAAGGGTGATTAGAGGCGGGATGTAGGTGACTTACTAGGTATAGCCATAAGGGCGATGAAGAGGAGCTGAACAAAGACCTGCAGCGGAGATCTCAGTCAAGAGATCGAGATGGTACAAAGAAAAACGGTCAAACGTACTGCGATGATCAGCATTGGTCGGGGTTTTCGCAGCTTGGGAAGGGCCCAGAAGGTGGTCACCCCACCAAACAAGCTGCCCGCTTGCAACGGGATGTTGTAGACCCCGATCTTGATGTCGTCCGAGGGGTCGTTGACGTAGATCAGGGACAGGTAGAGGGGGAAGAAGGACAAGAGCGAGTAGTATCTGCGTGGGTTTTCGAAATCAGTTGGATATATCCTCCCCGTATCCCACTCCCGCAATGAGAGATTCTCACAAGTGGAAAAAGGTCACTTACAGCATGCCTCCCACGATGGTGACGATGAGAATCAGAGTAAAAGTCCGGATACGGCGGAAAAGATGAGGATGGAGGAGGGGATTCTCGGGCACAAAGGCCTCTGTCAAGGCGAGTGAATATCAGGAAAACGTGGTGACCTTGAAGAAGCAGGTCCTTCTTTTTCTGTTGGAAAAACTTACCATAGACTCCGAGCAGGGCAATCGCGACGATGCCAATGATCAACGTCGTCAACACGCGAACATCTGATATCGGGTATGTTCCACCCAGCCATGTGATGGCCAGGAGTAGGAGTGTAGGGCCCGTCTGCACCCACGAGTTTCAGTAACATTCCCTGCTCGAGTCAGAGGAAGAGTTCGCCAACCCACCATTAGTCCCAGGAGGCCGAACCAATCGAAGCCCCTGATCAATGATCGATACGAGCTGAACCCGGCCAAGGGAGCTTGTGGATGATATAGGAAGAAGAGGGCGACGGTGCCGGCCACGTCCAGGGCGATGACAAGGTAATAGATGCTTCTCCAGGATCCATTCCTCACCATGGCATGAGCTGTGGTTATTTTATGTTTTTGTTAGATTCTGTTTTTCTCTTCCTCGACCACAGAAAACCGAAGTGCAGCGACTGGCGAGAGTGACTCGCTTATGGACTGTGTTTTCCGTACCTATCAAGGAACCAAAGACGGTAAAGACGCCGATCCCAGCATTGAAACAAGCCATGACAGCACCGCGTTGGTTGTGCGTCACCAATTCCGAAACGGCTGATAGACTGTTCTCGCTGGAGCCGATGTAGAGACCGACGAGGACGTTGGCGCCGATCACTGTTACAGCGTTGTCAGCTTGAGCCTTGAAGATGTGCAAATACCATCAACGGAGTCTCGAGCGCTTACACTGGCTGATATTCTTGGACGTGACAGCCACGATGCATCCCACAATCCCAACGAGTCCGAATAGGATCGAATATCCTCGTCGTCCGGTGAGGCTATGTTTGATGTCCGTCAGTCTCCCGGCACACCGACCTGGGTAGGCATCTTTGTAGAATCTTGTGCATCTTACTCGGTCACAGTCCCAGCAACTCCTACGCTAATGCTCGAGGCCAGAGCCAGACTTGACGCAAGCCATGTGTAGACGGGGCTTGGGCCTGGATTGAAGGGTAAGCAGTCGACATCCATGGAGGTATGGGGGGCCTCTCTCACCTATATCTTGATTTATATTTGCAATGACGGCCGAGATCATGACAGTGGCCACGTTGGCCGCTGCATAATGAAACTAGATTTGTTGTTAGTAGGAAATCTCAGGTTAAGAAGACACGAGCCATGAATCAGACACAATCTCTCCCATACACACACACTTGCGGGAGCCACAGGACTTACCCAGAATGATATGATTGCGAGATAGGTCGACAGTGAGATCTTGTGAGAGGCCGCTGGCTGTGGCGGCGACGTCTCTTTGGTCGAACAAGTCGAGGAGGATTCAACTTGGACCGCCGTGCCTGCGTTTTCATCGTCGCCGTCAAGCTTGGACCCCATTTCTGTCAATGCCGAGTCGGAGCGGAAGCGGCGTCAAATATCAAGAGGTTGTAATGATCAGGGGAGCGATAGCAAAGTGGAGGGTGAAGGAAGGGATTGATGGTCCGTAAGGCCACAGCCAAAACCGTGTGTACCTCCTTTGTATAAGCAACAACGCATCCTCTCCCTATACGGGGCCGAGGTGCAGAAGGAAAGCATTTGGCGACCCCGGAATTTCATGCGAATCCCCATAATCTGTCCCACACAATCCCCGGATCCTCGCACAGTTCCTATCCCGTACCAAGTCGGTCGAACTGCAGCCAATGAGATGTGGGAATCAACCACAAGATTCGGAATCTATTGGCTTGGGGGGGAAATGTGTTGTCCACTTTACGACACACACGCGGGCCCACACGTATGTGCCCAGTCAACAACCCCACACTCTTGTTTCCTTGAGCATATTCCGAGAAAGAAGCTGGAGTTTCCCCCAGACCACGAGGGATAAAGACTCCAATTCCGATTGGACCACAGGAGAAATCCAACCTACCCAGAGTAATTTCCTCTCTGAGAGGACACATGTTGCGGACCGATAACAGACCTGACTCCCCGGGCCTACAGTATCTGTGGGACAAAACCATCTCGTCATGGCACTGTTGGCAAAGACAATCGCAATCACCGGGGCAGCGTCCGGCATCGGACGCATGACCACCATCTGCCTCGCTGGACAGGGAGCGAATCTTTCCATCGCCGACCTGGACCTCGACAAGCTGCAAGAAGTGGCGGCCGAAGTGATGCGACAGCATCCCGATTGCGCCGTCATATGCACGGCGCTTGATGTCCGCCACGAACACGAGGTTGACGAGTGGATTCGCCAGACGGTGCAGAGGTTCGGGCTTCTGGACGGCGCCGTCAACCTCGCTGGCGTGCTGCGACAAGGCCTGGTGAGCAACTTTGCCCTTGACGACTGGCGGCTGGTGCTCGATGTCAACCTCACCGGGGTCTTTGTTTGCACCAAAGCCCAAGTTCGATCCATGAATGACGGCGGCAGTATCGTCAACGCCTCCAGCAGGGCAGGACTCCACGGCACGGCGAATTACGCCGCCTACTGTGCCAGCAAGCACGGAGTCATTGGCCTGACGAAGGCTGTCGCACAGGAAGTCGGAGCAAAGGGGATTCGCGCCAACTGTATCTGCCCGTAAGCAATCTCACCGCTGATCACCTCTGGCTGAGCAAGCATTTACCCCTCCTCCCCAGAGCGGAAAAAAGAACACGTGCTGACAGGTGGATCCATTCTTGCTAGAGGTGTCATTGACACCCCCATGACAGCCGCTTTTGAAGGCGTGCCCGCCGACCAGATCATCCAACGAAAAGGCCGACCGGACGAGATCGCCTCCCTCATAGCATATCTCCTTGGAGATCAAAGCAGGTTCATCACAGCCAGTGCAATCACCATCGACGGCGGTTTGCCGTGATTTTGGCAGAGATACATATCATGTAGATTTTCAATTCAAAAGTACAGACTTTGGGGGCCAAAAGATCGGTCTTTGTACAGTCTCCCTCATTCCAGAGCATCGCCGTTCACTCGAACAAGGATTTTGATATGTTGGTCTTTGTTCTCCATCAGCTCTTTCAGACCCCTGTCCTCTACCTCACCCAGCGCGATCCTCCTGGTCACCAGTCGTTCAAGAGTCTTGGTGGAAATTAAGCCCTGGGAGATGGCTTCGATGACGGACGCAAACGTCCCGGACCGGTAGCATCCGTCTCCGGTGACGACGATTGCGTTTGAAATGATCTTGTTCATGTCGACCGAGATCTGATCGGGTGTCAGCTTCTAGCCTAGTGGCAAATAGAACTGCGACATCGATCGACACTTGCCTTGTTGTGAAACTGGCCAAATGTATAGTACATGCCCCCTTTCCGGAGCAGATCTATCCCAAGGTCAAACGTGGATTGTGAATTGGCAGTGTCGAAGATGCAGCATGGACCTAGTCTTTAGTCAAGGAGACTCGGCTGTCAGCATACGATACGAGCATTTGTTGAGGCCATTGAATATTGCTACTTCCAACTTTGGAGAGCTCCCGGGGTCCTGACGGATGAACAACGAAATCCCGGTCACACACACCCTTGGAAGTAGTTTTCCAATTTCTCGCTCAGAGACGTGTCATTGAAATCCACGACGGCATCTGCGAGACTGAGGCCGTTGACCATCTTGTTGCGTGCCGTGGATCTGCCGATCATCAGAACTCGGAATTTGCCTACAGCTCGAAGGCACAAGGCGGTGGCAATCCCAATCATGCCGGTCCCGATAATGACCACCGAGGCATCGAGGTGGTTATCCAAGATGTGTTTCGAGTTTACAACGCCCTGCCATGCCACCGAAAGAGGCTCGACAAGCGCCCCCACCTGTAGAGATATGCTGGGTTCCAGCTTGTGGCATTTTCGAGCCGGTACCGACAGCCGCTCAATCATGCCACCCGTTTGAGTGAGGCCGAGTATCGACAGTCGTTCGCAATTGTTCTCGCGACCTTGGATGCACATGTGGCAGTCTCCATCTCCTTGGATCGGCTCAATCGACACACGGTCGCCGACGTTAAAGTCGGTAGCCACTGAAGGGTGAGCCTGGGTGACAATCGCCGAGAACTCGTGGCCGATGACCATGGGTAAATGCTGGTGACTGAGAGGGTGTGGATTCCCCGCCGATGGTGTGTACAACTTTTTAGCACACTCCTGTCAGGAAACGAGGTCGGCCTACATTCGAGAGTCTCAAACCCGACAGACATACCGGTCCTTGGGCATATTCTGCCACATCCCCTTGACATATTCCACACCAGGCCGGAGCCACCTCGACATGGTTCTCTGCCAACGCCGTATCTGGCAATGGCAACGTTTCAATTTTGACACATTTGTTTCCGTGGAGACGTGCTGCTCTTGCCATCCGCATGTCGATTAATTGAGTTGCTCCTTGTTGCTGTAGATTAAATAGCGTTTCGATGTAGAGAGATGGTGCGTTTCGTAAGTGCCTTTGGCTGGTACATCTGACACAAGATTTAATGTATCCTGCGGGTGGATGGCTCTTCTCCATGTGGGTATCGTATTGAGCTACCCTACCAGGATCTCCTCCCGTACAGGGTGGGAACGAGATCAGACCGAGGTAGGTCGGAGATAAGTTGCAAGACAGTTTGGGTCTGAGTTCCATGAACAAGGGAATGCGTGCCGCATATCGGGAGAAACGACATTGGTGTATTCCCCGAACAGGCTAGGGCGACCTTTTGAGCCCGTCATCGCCGTCGCTAAGGTGCTAGTCCTCTTCCCGCGTGGCAGGAGATTCTCCTTCTCTGGCGTGGGTACTTTTGCAAGGAGGGGATACCCATGCTTTGCTGAAACATATCCGGTAGTCGATCGGGCGGTTGAGTAATTGACGTTCCCGCCGCTCTCTGACAGACCACAAAGGACAACGGGTCCTGGTATGAACACGAGAGACAATGACCGTATCCGGCGGGATGTCGTTCCCAGCGAGCGAATCATACATGTCCTCTCTTAATTCCGTAATAACACATATCGATCTTCATCAAATACCGATCGGGCTAGTCGACGCGCTTTGAAGAAGACGGTGTCCATGTACCTCGCCTATCTCCCAATGTACGAGGTGCTTGGGGGTAAATATTGGTTACACTGGTACCATACACGGAAATTCCGACAACAGTGACCCTATCGACTTGGTCGAAGCGAACGCCAAATATGTCCAGGGGGGTTGACCGAGGACAAGGCTCTTCTTCAACACGACTCATTTTCACACATCCTCATGCCGGCTAGGTTTGCTAGACCAACCTTCTTGAAGCCGATAGTGTATCAGCGATTTGACACCGGTATACGTTAGTATGAATACCAGAGACTATGCTGCATGCAATATTGCTAGGGTCTGTAAGGTGGTCGCCGCCACCGGCATCCAGATCTTGACCCTTCACTATACCAGTCGCTTGATGGCACTGTGAGCCAACCACAGGCCAAACAGCCCCTGACGGCCCTCCTGTTGGCTCCAGTGACTGTGGAGCGGCTTGGCATCTGTGGACAGTCCTGACTCAGCATTTTCTTGGCTCTTCTTCTTCCAATCTTTCTATATTCATGTTCCAAAATTTTCACTACATTTTCATCTCGAGAACGATTCCATCATGCGGTGGAACGTTCGTCCGGGCCTTCATGGCGCAGGGGTAACGGCAAGTGCTTCAGAAACCCTCTAGGGATGTAGGGAAGCTAACAGGAATGCTCAGCGTCGCACTTGTATTGCGAAAACGCGATATATGCGAAGATCACAAGTTCGAATCTTGTTGGAGGCAAAGGGGGGGTCTTCACCTTTGATTTTTTGGTGAATTCTCGCCGATTACAGCTCCTCCGATAGCCGGGGGTCCTGTTATCTTATTTTTTTTCTGTCGGGGGAGCGTGTGTGTGGAGGGAGAGGACGGGGTGGTTGCCAAGAATAGACGTTCAATATCAGGGCAACGGCACTCAAGTCACTCAATTGGCCGGGCCACAAGGTGTTGCGATGTTCACACATTACTTCTCAAGGTTGGTTAAAACTATTTAGGGACGAGGGGTTTGGAAAGATACTTCATGTAGCTTAGTGTGGTGCGAGGACAAGAAGTTCGAAATGCAGTCTCTGAACTTACCCATTGTCAATACAAAAGGCTGGGTTTTAGAAGTCAAAGGGCGATATGTCCAGCCCAAGGGTCACTGAGCACCACCAGCCAAAAGCATGACAGTTTCATCAAAGTGCACCAACAATGTTTGCAGCTTAAGATCCGTCAGGAACGCCGCTCGCCCTGAGTGATCTACAGTTGTAAATCCACGCGCAAGAGCTCCTACAGAGCGCCGGTATCTGGACCGAACAAGTGCAGCTATTGCAGGTGCGGACTCTCAGGTTCGTCAGCCTCGAAACCCTACCAAGCTGTTGTGGGGAAAGTCCTAAGATTTTGCGTAAATCGATCCCATTGAGTTGTGACTCTCAGATTGCCAGGCACCGAACGGCAAGCGACCCTGTGCCACCGTCCAACAACTTGAAGAGGTGGCAAGATAGGTTCCATTGATTCTCCGGCAGATTCTGGTACCACTTTCATGTATGGGCAAGTTGGAAGAAATTGTCGAGTATGGGTCCCATTGAAAGTCGGGCTTTAAACCAGCACCGACTAAGATGCGTATAATCATTAGTACCTTCTACCTGAAGAATGGATGGTTGACCCCAGATGCTGCCGAATTTGACGATGCGGCTGACGGTCCTGGGCTTGGGTGAGAAACTCTGCCGTCCTCGAAATGTCGAGACGCTGGCGTCGGGAGCATATTTGTCTATGATGCTTCTGATTTCCGCTTGCATAGTGTGAGTCTGGATCGGAACCTGAACATGGTGTGAGAGAATTCTGCAGTTCTCGAGACGGACTACGACGCAGTGTTTTGGCCCCGAGGAGATGGGAGAACATATAAGTTCTATGGCAGTGTTCACGACATCTGCAGTCCGCACACGAGCTAGACAAGAGACAACATGTTGTCAGCATCGGTGAAGATGCCGCTCGCATTTCCGGGCATTTTCTCAAAAATGTCAAGATGATAGCTTGATGTTGGTATCGAAGGTGCTCCGTGCTCGATCTGGATATCGAAACTTAGCTGAGGGTAAGTTGAGGTGGTCAAGGGTTGCTAGTTGAGACATCGTTGCTCTAGGCGGAGGTTAGAATACGTCGTACAACCATTGGAGCCTTTGTACGACTCAAGTCCGGCCACGTGCGCCGTGGAGTAAAGCGGCAGGTTAAGAGAGTCCCGAAGTCTACGACGGCCTTCACTCCAGTGTCATTAATTATCCCACGATGCACCGTGCCAAATAATGGTAATAGCCTTCAGATGGCTTTCCGCACTTGGCCGTCCAGCAAAATGTCTGCCGATCTCACCATTCGCACGCCGGTCGCTGGCGACCGTCGTCGGCCATACATCACCAGCGGCTCGTAACGAGGTGATACAACTACGGGCATATCAGGAAGAATGCATTCAATCGATTCTGTCATATCTGGAGAAGGGCCACAGGCGCTTGGGCATCTCACTAGCTACTGGAAGTGGGAAGACGGTGCGTTCCATGTCAGGAGTGTTGGATGCATCAGAGCAATGCTAACGCTGCTTTCTCAAGGTGATATTCACGCAATTGATCAGTCGGATCGAGCCACCAAGTCCAACTGCCCAACAGACCCTTATCCTTGCTCATCGGCGAGAGCTGGTGGAGCAGGCAGCACGTCACTGTGAGAGAGCATACCCTGAGAAGAGCATAGACATTGAAATGGGAGACATTCACGCTTCAGGTGCCGCAGATATTACGGTGGCATCGGTTCGGAGCATGGTCTCTGGCGAGCGGCTGAGCAAATACAACCCCGAAAGATTCAAGCTCGTCCTTGTCGACGAAGCCCATCATATCGTGGCTCCGGGGTACCTGCAAGTCCTCCAGCATTTTGGCTTGGAACAGCAAACAAGTACTGGTCCAGCCCTTGTTGGCGTCTCAGCTACCTTCTCTCGTTTCGACGGCCTCAAGTTGGGGACAGCAATCGACCACATTGTCTATCATAAAGACTACATCGACATGATCGGCGAGAAGTGGCTGTCGGATGTCATGTTCACGACTGTCAGGTCGAAAGCAGATCTCTCGAGGGTCCGAAGCGGCAAGGACGGGGATTTTCAGACGGGTCAGCTCTCGGCTGCCGTCAATACTGAAATCACCAACGAAATCACCGTTCGGGCGTGGATGGATGAAGCCAGCGACCGGAAATCGACCTTGGTCTTCTGCGTCGATCTGAACCATGTGGCAAGCTTGACCTCCACATTCAGGAAACACGGCATCAATGCGCAACCTGTCACCGGCAATACGAAGAAGAGCGTACGTGGCGAACGACTTGAGTCATTCAAGAACCGCGAATTCCCTGTCTTGCTAAATTGCGGTGTCTTTACTGAAGGGACCGATGTGCCCAATATTGACTGCGTGCTGCTTGCACGACCGACCAAATCCCGCAATCTGCTCGTTCAGATGATTGGTCGGGGCATGAGATTGTACCCGGACAAGAAGGACTGTCATGTTATTGATATGGTCGCTTCGCTTGAGACTGGTATCGTGACGGTACCGACCCTTTTTGGCCTTGACCCGTCTGAGATGGTGAGGTCGGCCAAAGTCGACGACTTGAAAGCGTTGAAGGATAGCCGAAGCGAGAAAGAAGTTTCTACGAATGCGGCAGGCCACCTTGTCGATTCCGATGGTGTGTCCGGCAATCATCAACTCGACTTCATCCACTATGACTCTGTGCACGACCTGATCGAAGATACTTCAGGCGAACGACACCTGCGCGCCATATCCCCCAATGCCTGGGTCCAGATCGATTCTTACAAGTATGTGCTTACGGCGAGAGGTGGAATCCTAACCCTTGAGCGCCGCCTCCCTACCGACACTCCCAAGTCCAAGTCCAACTCTAATCCTAGGGCCACTGACGCTTCGTACATGGTCATATGGAAACAATCTCTTCCCCCAACCGAGACTTCCAAATCGCCCTGGTCTCGTCCTCGCACTGTAGCAACCGCCGCAACGCTCAGTGACGCCTTACATGCCGCCGACACGTTCGCGGCTCAGAAGTTTGAACGTGTATTCATCGCGACATCATCGTCCTGGCGCAAATCACCCGCCTCCAAGGGCCAACTCGACTTCCTTAACCGACTCCGTGAAGTTTCTGAGGAGGAGCCCCTGACCGAGATGGATTTGACCAAGGGACAGGCTGGCGACATGATCACCAAGGTCAAATTCGGAGCGCGAGGGCGATTCGACAAATTGATGAGAAAGAAGCGCGGGGCGGAGAAGGGTCTGGAGAAGGAAAGACGAGTCAAGGAGATGCGGGAACGAGAAGTCGTCAGGGTCGGGCCCGTGGACGCTTGAGGTTGGCTCGATCGGGTTTCTGACAATTTCCCAAAATGGAAATGCTAACATCAAAATCGAGAAAACTCCAACACTCACAGCCTTGTCTGGACTTCCCGTCGTGTGGTCGTGACCATAACAGGTACTGGTACAGGTACATGTAATACAGGCACTTGGACTTTGTACAAAAGCAGGTCCAGTCGTAGACCGATTTCCGGTCTTTCCGGATATTTTCTTTTGGCGCCACATCCACTTTCGCGCGTCAAAATGCCTCACTCTACAAGGGCTGTACCTGACCGCCAACCGACCAGCCGGCGACCGAATGCAGTACTTGTACATTACATCCTTGTATCTCCACCAACGGCGGAGCTTTCTGTTGTTTTGGGAATATAGCGCTCCCTCTGAGAGATGGCGCGATTTGGCGGACGGACTCGCACACCATTGGGAAAGGTCACACGCTCTTGTTCAATCAATACATGTTATTTGCATGACTCGGATCGCTCTAGCGTGGTACTTGTAAGATCATACATCAATCAGACCAAATCAAAGTACGGAAAAAAAAGTGACTTCTGGCTTCTGCATCCATCCCGGCCTTTACCATCCCACCCTAATATGACTTGCTCAAGGCGGCATACACTGCGCCTCGACTTTATCGCTGAGGTCGTCTGTGTTCCAAAACCGTCGAGGACGTGCAGCCAAGTTTGCCTCCTACCAAAGCTGCATACTTACAAATGGTCAATAATAGCGGCAGCGTACTCGTGTGTCTTGGCCTTTCCACCCAGATCTCCTGTCAAGGTCTTGCCTTCCGCCAACGTGGAGAAAATGGCGTTCTCGATCTTGACTGCGTGTTCGTTCAATCCCATATGCCGTAGCATCATAATACTACTCAACAAAAGAGCAGTGGGGTTCGCAAGGCCTTTTCCTGCGATATCCGGAGCAGAACCGTGCACGGCTTCGAAGATGGAGCACTCGTCACCAATATTGCCTGAGGGAGTGAGACCCAAACCACCAATCAAGCCAGCGCACATGTCGGAAAGAATATCGCCGTAAAGGTTGGGCATGACCAGAACCTTGTCGGAGTATGGGCCAGGGTCGGTCGTAATCTTCAAGCAAGCATTGTCGAGGAGTTCGGCGTCGAACTCGATATCAGGGAAATCCTTTGAGACATCCCTTGCAGTGCTGAGGAAGAGACCATCGGACATCTTCATGATGGTCGCCTTGTGCACCACACGGACCTTCTTCTTGTTCACATCCCGGGCGTACTGGAAAGCGTATCTCAAGACCCGCTCAGAGGCTGCGCGGGTGATCAGTTTGATGGACTGCACGACGCCATCCACCACCACATGCTCAATTCCCGAGTATTCTCCCTCCGTGTTTTCTCGAATGAGCACAGTGTCCACGTTGTCGTAAGGCGTCTTGTAGCCCTCTATACTGCGGCACGGGCGGACATTGGCGAACAGGTTGAAGGTTCGTCGGAGGGTAAGATTGAGAGAGACATGGCCTTTGCCGACGGGGGTTGCGAGTGGTCCCTTCAACGCGACGTAGTTCTTCTTGACGGAGTCGATGGCTTCGTCAGGAATGACCGTCCGGCCGTCCTTCAGGCGAGGTGTAACATCGACAGGCTCCCACACAATGGGCACCTTTGCAGCTTTGTAAATGTCCTTGACCGACTGTGAGATCTCGGGACCAATGCCATCTCCTTCTATCAGTGTCACGGTGTAGTTTCCGTCCGGTCCTTTCGTGCCCTTGAATTTGGCGACTTTGTCCGCTTCTGCAGTCGAAGCGTAGCGTCTAGGTTGGATCTACATAGCCAGAGTCAGTCAAATGGGCACTGTGAAGCTTCTGGCAGCATCTGACAGTCACCTGGAAGTATGCGGGAGCCCATGTTGGCTGCGTGCAAGCTTTTCGCAGGCATTGGCGAGCTGGAGCAGCAAATGCTCGAGAAGCGATCATGGTGGGCGAATATTGGTGAAATTGCTGAGCAACGAGAGCAAAGGAGCTTCAGCAAGGGATCCTGTTCACCACATGGAGCGAGGAACGGAGTTGAGAAATTGGCGCAGTCGTATACTTTGCAAAGATAGCGCCAGAGCTCGAGTGGTGGAGCTTTACTTGTGAAATGTTTTATCGACCAGGGACGTACCAGTTACATCACAACCGGCAAGGGGGGCAGCTAGAGTGGAGTTATGTAAGTCTGCACGTGACTGCGAGAAATCTCCCTCCAATAATCTCGTGGCTCGGGCCTCCTTGTGGTCCAAACAATAAATCGTGTCACCAAGACATCAATGAACGGCTCGTCCTCAGTCTGTCCACCATGGCCCAGACACGAGACATATTGAATCACTACAACATATCCAATCCGTTTCCGACAGAGTGGCCGGCGGAGCTGGATAGCGATGACGAGGACCCGGATGCCGCGGGCGTCAGACGGTCTCGCTCCCGTTACTCAGCCTTGGAAAGGACCGCTAGTGAGAGGAAGAGTCTTCTCCCTGGATCCCAGAGGACGGTCGAGGGAAGGGCGAATCTGGTGCAGAAAGATGAACCAGATCCTTTGGGAGCGCCATCAAGCGTGGTGACCTCGTTGACGAACCTTGGCCTGCCAGCGGAACATGACACACGGTACAGAAACAGGTTCATGCTCTCCTCAACAACCTTTTCTCCAGAATTATTCCTGTCGACAACTCACTCCGATGACACCACAGAAGACCTGATACAAGGATCCAAATATCTGGCCAGGTCCATCGACCAGCAATCGGCGCCACTCAAAGCCTTGGTGGAGACCAACTTTGAGCGCTTCGTCCGCGCCAAAGCCACCATCGACAATGTGTATACCGAAATGCGGAACCAAGGCATTGATACCCATGCCAATACTCCCCCGTCTCCCCGCCATTCTCGTCGCGTCAGTGGCATCCACTTTCGGAATATTAGCGGTGGCAGTGCGGCTGGCGTGACACCTCCTCAGCGCCCGAGCAAAAATGCATTACGCAAGGAGACAGACTATGGTGTGCAAGGTATGAAAATCTCGCTGTCGGAGGTCTCCAAAAAGGCCGAGGATGTCTGGGGCCCTGCACTGGGCGGAAAGGAACGTGAAGCGAAATTAAAAGTTATCTTGAATGCGGTGGAGAAAGACAGGGCAATCTTTGAATTGGGCTCGTCTCTGAGTGAAGCTATCAACCAGAGAGACTATGACAGAATTGTAGAGTTATACAATTCTGCTCGTCAGTACGCCGCCGAGGCACGAGCCTTCGGCGAAGAGGTGAGGCAAACCGGCCGTGGACTTTCAGATGATGAAGTCTATCGGGTTGTCATTGTCGGCAAAATGTGGTCAAGTGTGGATGAACAAATAAAAGCACTGAAACGCGACATTTGGCGCAAGCTCTCCAACACCTCGGCCGCTCTCCCACATTCTGGGGTGTCCCAGGCAGAGGAGCATATGGAACTCATCACGGTTTTGTTACACCTAGGCGTGGAGGAGAGCCCGATCTGGGTTTACCTCCTCAGCCGATACGACTTCTTGAAGAACAAGATTGCTGCAGTCGTGGAGAGATCCAAGATTGAAATCGAGATCCTGCGCCGCCGTCTGGCACTTGGAGAACGTCCAACCTCCGAGACTGTGGCGATGTTTCTGAGACAGGCCTCCAAAGAGCGGCCGGAAGCTCTCGACACCGAAGATGTCATCGATTTCTGGAGCTGCACACTGACCTACTTTACGAAGCTGCTGTCTTTGTCCAACGGGCTGCTCGGCGAGATTGTCGACTTCTGGGAAACAGCACAGTCTTTTATCGATGGCAGCAGACAGAAAAGTTTGCCCACTGGGTATGAAGGTGAGAGCAGCAAGCATCTTCAACTATCCGAATCGGAAGTCAACGGGTTGCGGAGCGGCGTCACCGAACTGGTCAGTCAGTTGAGGGATGCTGTCTTTTCGCTTTTCGCCGACCCGCCCGCTGAAGACATCTCGTCTTTGTTCTCGCCAGTACCTGGATCCGCCGGTACACCTACAACCCCTCACATGGGAGCGGCGTTTTCGCCCACCGATGGCCGAATAGGCAGACTTGATCCTACAGATCTGCCTGCGGCGGCGGCAAAGAAAGGCGAGCCATGGGAAGACTATGCATTCTGGCCACCTCATTCCAACGCACTGAGCGCCGTGCACTATCTGCAGCAGATCCTTGCCCTTGTTGGGGTCGGTGCTGGCGAAATGGTCGCGTTGGGTCCAGTGAGTAAAAACAATGCCATGTTTGATAAGATCAAGACCATGATCGCAGGAGCCCGAGAGCGATGTATGAGAGCCGTCTGTGAAGCCTGGAGCAAGGATGCCGAAAGCTGCAAGTCAATGGAGGACTGGGTGCGCTCGCCTGACAAGCGCGATCAGACTCGCATGCCGATATATATCGAAGCCTTCGAGAGAAAAGTACTTCAGGGTATGCAACAAGTGCTATATCTCTCCGACACTACCACCAAGCCAGGAGGTCGCGACATCCTCACCCCACCACCGTCGAAGCTTTTGCAAATGGTCCGGACCCAGTTCGTCAGCTCAATTTACAAAACGGCCAGTGGCATGCTCGAAAACACCGAGGCTTCGAACCAAGGAGACGAGGAAGACTGGGTGTTGGTAACAAGCCTCAACTCAATTGCCGTCGGTGCTACGCCAAGCGAAGCTCTGATGCACGATGCTATCAACGCCTCCAGCCGTAACGTTCGCATGCTCCTGACTATGTCGAACCTTAAAGCGCTACGGAACGATCATGTGCCGGCACTCATCCAACTGTTTGAATCTTTATTCTCTGTGAAGCTAGCGGAGGAGTCCAAGACCATCAAGGATGTTTTTGGTCAAATTGACGCCAAATTGTTCCATTCATACACCAAACCAATGGTGGCGAACTTGACTCAAATCGTCAAAGATGGTATCAACTCTCCAAGTTGGGTACCTACCAATCCAAAGCCAGACCAAGTCAGACCGTACGTCTATGCTGCGCTAATGAAGCTCGTGATGGTCCACACGGAGGTCTCTACGACTGTCCCAAGCACCACGGGGTCAAATAGTCCACTACTGGGCGAGATTCTGTCCTATATGCTCGAGAACATCTCGCAAGCCCTGCTCGAGGGGTTCAAAGAGCGCAAACCAAACACCTACTCCCTCCCCGCTTTGATGCAAGCGACCCTCGACACGGAGTTTATTGCCCAGACCATGACGAACTATTCGACGCCCAAGGCAGGGGAGATTCAAGGCCAGATATACACAGAGTTGGACAAGAGGACGACAAACGAGGCCAGGGCGAGATTGCAGCAGGAACTGGGCGACATGCGGATCGTGTTGAAGAAACTGAGGGACGGCAGTCGAAATAGCTTTGGGTGCTTCAAGAAACCGAGAAGCAGTGACAAGGACAGAGGGAGGCAGCAGACCACTGCTGCTGCGGCGGCGTCGTAAGGACGGTTCGTGAAGGCAAAAAAAGGGGGGAAGGGTGGAGTTACAACAGGGATTGAGGAGCTTAGCGATATTTAAAGCTGTCCGGTGCGCCTGGAGCGCGCAATCGGGTTTGATACCCAGATTTAGAGCAGTTTCATTGCGGAACCATCGTCTTCTCGCGGTCACGTCAACGCCAGTCTCTGGTGTCCCTAGTCATTCAATCCGTGCCATGGCGTCTCTTGTCATTTCAAATGAAAAGTAGTTTCACAATGCCTGTTTGGTCCCGATAAGAGGCTCATCGCCGCCGTTTCCTGCCTCTCCCTCTGCGTGCTCCGCCTCGCCCCCGTTTCGCAGGCCCACTCCGCTTCTGCTCGGCCTCCTCTTCCTCGTGGTCGTCGCTCTCGCCCTCCTCGCCGGCTCCGCTCTCGTCCTGCTCTTCGTCGGCGGCCTCCTCGTCCGCCGCGTCCTCCATGGTTCGGTCCCCGTCCGGCTCCACCACACTCGGCGCCTTGCTCGTCCTCCGGCTGCCGCCGCCGCGTTCGCTTTTCGCCGTCTCCAGCTCGTTCTGTAGCCGCGACAGCCTGCCGCGGCCAGAACCGCGGCCTCGGCCGCCCCGCCCTGACCCTCTCCCGGAGACACTCACAGGTGAGCTGCGCGGCTCGTCCGTGTCGGCGAATGTGCTCTCGCGCCTCGTTGCTATGGACTCGGCCTCCGGGCTCGACGGCTGCGTCAGGGAACTGCTTTCGGTACTTGACCCGGAGTCGGGGGCAAGCCGTCTCTCCCACATCATCTCCCCAAAGTCGTCCCCGGGAAGCTCGAACTCGCGCCAGTAGTACTCCGTGTCCTTGGAGCTGCTGACGCTGCGTGACTCGTCACCGGGACCCCCGCCGCCGTCGTTGCCACCTCCGTTCCCTGCCTCGATGCCAGCAGCGCCCACGCCGGACCCGTCAAAGATGATCGAGTCTTCCCGCTCGTCCAGCTTTTCGAGATCGTACAGACTCGCCAGCTTCCGCCAGATCCCCGCCGTGGACGTGTGGCTGTCGTCCGGGTTGATGGCCCCGCTGGACACGAGGTGGTCTCGGATGGCGATCATGCGGAAATGTTTGTGCATCCCCACCGGTTTCCACCGGATGATGGCTTGCAGGAGCGCCGACTCCTGCGCGGAGGTCCAGCAGAGTGTGTCATCGGAGGAAGAGTTGTAGGTTGAAGCCTCCGCGACGGAGGCTGCGCTTGTCGTCATAGTCAGGTTCTGTTTAGTTTCCAAGTGTCCTCGGGAATGGTCTGTGCGAGTCTCCCCAAAACTGGAGAACAAGAGTGGGCTCGTTTTTCTCCTACTTTGGGTGCTTTGTGCAGGGCTGTAGCTTGGACTCGACGCCTCAAATCATTCCTGGCCTTCTGTTCCAACCGCACGAATGTCGATGAAGCACGAGGAGACGAATAGACGGCGCCTCGCGGTCTTATTCTCCCGGTTGGTAAATACGCTTGCTCAGTCAACAAGGGGTGGGCCGATTTCTCTAGCTATTTCTAGAGGTCTGTTGTGTTGAAAGGTTGAGACTCTCGCCGGTTTTGAGATGCTGGATTTGATTCGCAGCGGCTGAGTTTCCTCTTTCGGACCGCGTCAGGTTGAAAGAGGCAAGAAGCGGCAAGGCTGAGCCTCAGCCAATGATATGAAGGTTCTTCAACAAATCGCAGCCTCGCCAGTACCTCATGAACCACGAGTTTGGAAGGGAATCGTAAGGCATCAAGTAATGACAAATCTGCATCATAGGTGTAATAACCTCAACCTACTAAAATCTATATGGTCCCATTCTTGTCCAGCAAAAGGCTCCAGTTCGAGCATAATGTGCCGCAGAGAGCACTTCCACCACTGACCTTCCCATTCCTCTGTCACTTTAGCACATCATCTCGTTGTTGCTCTCCAGATATCCAGCAGTGGTTCTCCTTCGAACGATTCAATGTCCATGCTAGATAAAATCTGTACCTACTCATCCTACTCTCGCTTCTACACGGATCGGGTTGTTGCTGGTCTCCCTTAAGGAATGAGCTTGATACCCTTATACTCGGGAGATGGCTTACACGATTGAGGGATCCGACGGCATGCCCGTCACCGCGCTGAACTGCCAGCTCATCCTCCCTAGTGACATGCCTGTAGATACTGTTCGCATCGATAGGTCAGAAGTAGAGGCAACGCTGCCACGGCCGATGGACTTGAACAACCTAAACGACGAGCTCGTTGACGGGGTCAAAGACTTAGCAAGAGTTGCCACCTCTGATCGGTCCCCAATTGCCAGCGACTGTGGCTCCCAGGGAGGAGCATCTGGAAACTGTGGATAAAGAATCGGATCCGCTCTTGTGAAATCCCTCCGCTACATGAACAGCTTGATTGATATGCCAAGTAGATCAAGTTCAGGTGTCGGACTCGCTAGACCTGCCACTTCTCCGGCTGTTGCCACAACACACAACGGTGTTAAAGTTGTCTGTTGTTCCTCTGCGACCCCTATTGAACTCAACTGCAGGTACTCATCAATGAGTTGTCTATAATCGCTGCTCCCCGGGCCGGATTCCAAGGTTTGTTGAAGTTCCGCAATCGCAGATTCAAGGAAATAAACACTGCTGGGTGAAGACGAGGAAGAGCGGGAAACGACAAGGAAGGTCAATATCACCACAGCCTGTCTCAAAAGAAGCTCTGAAAACTGCTTGTTGCCTTGGCCAGGAGTAGAGTTATCAGACCAATAGAGTGGATTAGTGCAGACGAGCTCTTCGAGGAGCCGATACACCAGGGCCTGCACAAAGTAAGTAGATTCGGTAAAACCGTAAAAGGGGAAACAATTGTCCTTAATGAGCATTTCCAGATCCCGATATCTCTTCCGCACACCTTCTCTAACGAGAGAGAGAGCATCGAGCATCATCGCTTGGATTTCGGGAGAAAGGTAGAGATAGTCAAGGATGGCTCGGGGATGGAATTCCGTTCGTCCGGGTTTTGTAGGAAACAGGTAAAGCCACATGCTGGATAGCATGGAGCTAGTAATCCAATAGGCCATTTGCTCTGGTGTTCTGTTCTCCGATCTGTCCACGCCCAGTTGAAGGAGGCCTCGCATATACCGTGCGCAGCCGGGGTCAACGTGTTGTTGCATATTCTCCACCCAATCACTGAGCTGCTCGACGAGTACTTCTGCAACCAGCCTCTGGTGTGCAGTACGAGCAGAACGAGCGCATCTTATGACGAAGAAGAGAAAGTAGCGACTGAGCCAGATATTCTCCCCCATCCAGTCATTAAGTGTAGAAGAAATGAGATATAAGATATCGAAAGCTTCTTCAAAGTGTCTTGTATGGAAAAGTATTGTGGCCATGTAACTGAACTTGCTGATGATGGAGCGTCCTGGGAAGGTATATGGATGTATGCCCGCCAGTTGTCGTCCCCAAAATACGATAAAGCCAGACGGTCTGTAGGAGGGCATAGAGAGTGTAGGATAGGCCGTCATTTTAGACTTTGACTTTGAGTTGTGCGTCTGAGCCAGTTGTGCGGATGACTCATAGGGCACGGCCGAATGTATAAACTCATTGACACAAAGTGTTTCCGTAATAACAGCTAGACTAGGAGCCGCGTTTGGAGAACTTCCTGGACTGGCGCCGAGCGATGAATGTGCACCGGTAACCTCAGAGACATGGTCGGTGCCTAACTCGACATTTAAAGATGAAGATTGTTCCAGGGTCGACGTCTCGAAAGCTGTAATTGATCCATGGTCGCGGATCGTCGTGGTTTCTATGCTCGAGCCCAGACCTTGCGTTTCAGTAGAGTCTGGACAAGTCGTTGGAAGAGTTTGAGCGGGGCGGTCTGCACTTTGGTGGAGTTGGGCATTGTCTCTGTTCAATCCCCATTTATTCATCTGGGTTGTGAGCTGGCTCCTTGGTGACGTGAACATGCCTAGAGTCAAGCTGCCGAAGAATCTCTGAGACGGTGACTCCTTCATGCAGAAATCCTGATATCATGGGCTTTAGCTCTTCCCATTGTTTCTTGGGAAGGCTCGGATTCTTGGAAGGCACGTTTGGGTGTTGTTGCTTGAAACGAAATGGCGTCGGGTCAGCCATAGCTTTCTGGCGGCGATGCCCTGACAAGAGGGTTTCTTGAGAGATCGATTCGAAGACATTCTGGTCGAGAAATCCTACAGCAAGGTTGAGCTGTTAAATAAGGCTGAGAAGCGCAGCTGCTGTTCATGAGGCTAACGGGGATCATTGAGAATGACCACAAGAGGACTAGCTCAGCCAGTATGGTGGAGATCAGGGTGAGGCAACCAATGGCCGTCCACCATGCAAGCCCTCTGTCACAAATCACCTTCTGGCGACGGCCTTGAATGGACGAGATTTCACGTTCACCACAAGAGGAACCAGGGACTAGAAAGATATGTTGGTGATCTGGACAAACATGAGCTTCCCAAAACAGACGTTCTTAAACTCAACAGGCCAAATCATAGGAGAAGGAAACGAAACCCCTTCACTCGCTCCCCGCAACGCCAATCCTCGTCCGATACCTGTCAGCGATGCCTACCGCAAAGACCTCGATGGTCGGCTCTCATTCATCAGAGTGTTTTCTGCATCTACCATCCCTCCTCTGACTCGAAATATCTGAGAATTATAACACCCGACTTATTCGTGGAATCGTGGGCGGCATCGACCCACACACGGCACGAAGAGCGTTGTTTTGACTTTGACGCTACTAACTGTCCAACAAAGTCCTTTTGCTAGGCACCTATCGATTCGGGTATCTATCTAGTATTAGGGAAGATGGAAATGCCGGTGGAGCTTCCGCGGTTGATCTCCATCAAACCCGCACTGATCGACCAAAGGACAACGGCAAGCTTGCCGACTCCCTCGTCATCCCAGATCCGGAAATTGCGCGCGTGCCTCTGACTGTGACTCTGATATCCTGGTCAATGTTTTGCACAAGTATAGATGGAATCAGTGTCTCTTGCCGTGGAGCGACGTTGGTCTGGCTTCCATCCGAGTGTTGGTCGCCTTGGACATCTTGAGCTTTGCCACAGAGATAAGTCTCAAACTTGACCCTTGAATCTGTTTGTTTTTCCATTCTTTTTGGTACCACAGCCTCCCGAGATTTGGGAACTTCTGTCAGGAATTCATTGTCTGTTTGATTGTCAATGGGAATTGACCTGCATACTGTCTCTCGATGGACAAGATTCCTATGGAAGGACTTGGCCATCGTTCAGACCAAGCCGCACAGAGCGCCGAAGACGCCGACTGCCACGCCAACGAGACAAAAACCCCTAATGAGGCATTAGAGGTTATATCGTCACCTCTGGCGCTGGAAAAAGGCCAAGGAATAGACCTGGAGAATGCCTCTCCAGATATGCTGGACCAGGCGAGAAGCATAAACATCACACCCCCGGACGTACAGTCCAGCCCGAACAAACCTACCGCCACTCCTCGATTGGCCAGGAGGGGTCTCTTCGCTTCCCTGGCTCTGCTTGCTGAGGTTGATGATCCATATCTCTATCCAAAAAGCAGGAAATGGTTCATTACTTTCGTGGTGGCTTTTGCTGCGGCGGCCACTTCGCTGGGGAGTGCCATCATTTATCGTAAGTTATTCATACACAGAAGCAGGGCTCTGTATCTAACCGGTGAATCTTCCCTTTGCTAGCTGCTCTCGCCGACACCGCTCGGGACCTCCATGCCAGCCCCACCGTCACCAACCTCTCCGTCGCTCTCTACATGCTCAGCATATCCTTTTGCCCTCTCTGGTGGTCTGCTCTGAGCGAAACGGCCGGCCGTCGAACGACCTACCTCGTTTCCTTGGCTCTTTTTGTCCTCTTCGCCATTCTCTCCGCAACAGCCAGAACCATAGGTGTCTTCGTGGCTATGCGCATGCTGTCCGGGGGGGCCGGGGCATCGGTCCAAGCAGTCGGAGCGGGTACCTTGGCCGACATCTGGGAGCCTTTTGAAAGAGGTAAAGCGATGGGTCGGTTCTACATGGGCCCTTTGTGCGGACCGCTGCTCGCTCCCATCATTGGCGGGTAAGATTTGCCTGAAAGCAAGATCCCAAAAGTGTCCACTCGTTTTCTCTTCTGTCGATTGCCAATATCATAGGTGCTGACAACCTGGGCAAGGTTCCTAGCTGCTCGATGGGGCTGGAGAAGCACACAGTGGTTCCTTGTCATCTATGGAGGAGTCAGCCTTGTTTTTCTTCTCTTTGCATTACCAGAGACGGTCAGGAGACACGAGGATCCAAGCGAGGACATTGCGCGAGAAGCAGATTCGGGATCTTCCGCCTCTATGACTCGTGGTCGCACGAAGAAGTACCTCCGTATGTCCTGGGGTGTGCTTGTCGACCCGCTGAAGATGGTGCTGCTTCTCCGTCACCTTCCCATTCTCTTCACAGCGTATTGGGCATCGCTCGCCTTCGGAACGCTTTACATCGTCAACATTTCGGTCCAAGACGTCTTCGCCAAGTCTCCGTACAATTTTTCTGTCTCCAAAGTCGGCCTGACCTACATCCCTGCGGGCTTTGGGTTTTTGATCTCAGCCTTGTTCAGCGGCAGGTGGGCTGACCATGTCATGGCAAGAGAAGCCAAGCGGAAGAACAGATACGATGAGAATGGCAAGTTGATCTTGCGGCCTGAGGATCGAATGATGGAAAATGCTTGGATAGCTGCCATCGCGTTTCCCATATCCATGCTGTGGTATGGTTGGAGTGCAGACAAAGGGGCGTTCTGGGTTGTTCCGGTACGGGTCCCTCCACATTTTTCGGATTTCTTTCCCACATGTTTCTGCTCTAGCCGGCCAACGGCCTTTTTCGAATGTATCTAACGAACAACTCCCACAGCTGCTGGCGACCCTCGTCTTCGGCTTGTCAGCAATGCTCATCTTTGGGCTAGCCGTCACAATGCTGACAGAGTTTGTCCCTCGCAAACCCAGCAGTGGCGTCGCTGTGGCAAACTTCCTCCGCAACATCTTCTCCTGTATCGGCACTATACTCGCACACCCGCTGATTCGGGCCGAGGGCACCGGATGGATGTTCACTGGCTTGGGAATTCTCGTGAGTACAGGCGCTCTGGTCATTCTGTGGATGAGGACGAGGGGCTCGGCCTGGCGAGAAGCCAATCGAGGGAAGATCGGCTGACACAGCTTTTGCTGTCCAACCTTCCCAAGTCAGAATAGGAATGCCTTTCCTACACATAGGTGCACCCTTGAGGATAGGAGGATCGTAATCCCTACTATTGTCCTCGACTTCATCTTAACAGCGATCGGCACAGATCTCGAACCATTTAGGGGGATGCGCAGCGACTTGTGTGCATCATGCGCATTTGCTTGCGGAAGGTTGGTGTTGGCTATCTCCTGCACGTAAAGAGCGATGATGTGTGATTTGGGAGACGTGCTCAATGGACCACCACCGAAGAAAGGTTGCGCCCAGGAGACTAAAATGGAAGCCTCCCTTTCCACACAAAACGAGTCCGAGGTAGACTAGGGATTGTCACCCAGGTGTTTCAAGGGTAATGGGTGAAATTGTCGATGGCTTGGTCGATTGCATAGACCAGGAGGAGAAGGCTACCATCAGTACTGTGAACATGTGATTAGAGCTTGACACCGCCAGATATTAGATGATAGAAGATCCAAACTGCACTGTCATGTCTCATTTTGGATGCTTCCATGAGTCACGCTGCTTTTATTTCTTCCTTTCTGTCTCCGCGGGATGTTAAAGCGGCGCACTATGTATCCAACGCGTAACTGAATCGACGCGTTGGACATGCCCGCACGTAGTTTTCTCGTCCACCACCCGCAAAGAGACCAGGAATATCGCACAATGCTCTTCAGGATGACACTATGCCACCCTCAGAGCCAGTGCACCCATTCTCCGTCAGACACATAGAGAACTTCAAACCTGAACCCCTCGCTTCCGACGCAAGTTGGGATCCGTTCCAGCTCGAGCACCACCTGGAAAGCCGACTCCTTCGATTGGATGAATCGGCACAAGGACCTCTCCCCGCGCTCATAACCGACGTTTTTCAATTGAATTTTGAGGATGTGTCTCTACAGGACCTGTCAGCATCGTCCGAGGTCACGTCCGACTCCGAGAATGATCAATTCGAGAGCCTGGACGGCGACAGCGTGCAAGAGGAATGGGTTGACGTTTGGATCTTACCAGATATCCAGAAGAGAAGAGAGGGACAACTGATAAGTTGGGACAAATTTCTGGATGAACGACACCAAGAACCTGCATCAGCATATGTCAGCGAGACGGATCCTGGGGTGTTCAACTCCATCCTCGATCCAAACGGGCAAAGTCCCCCAACATTTATCAAGTCGGACATCCTTTTGAGCGCCTTGTTCGAGTTGTGCATGGGGCGAGACTCTGTTCTGTTCAGGTGGGAGGAGAAGGACCGTACATTTGTTACCCGGTGGCAACTTCTGTCGGCACGGGGGTACAGTTCGACTCTAGTGCAGAGTTGCTCTGAGGCCTTCTCGACCATTGGGATAGACACCAGGTTCCTTACAAGCGCTTTTCAAGCCTTGGACAACAAATATGCTCTTCTCTCTTCCGCTCAAATAGCTCTCCTGTCTACCTCCAGGTCCATGCTCTATGCTGTCCACAAGCACCTTGTCGAATTGAGACCAAGCATTGCGTCGATACTCCAACTCAAAGGCATTATGGGAAAGGTCAAGATAGTTGTTGACATGCTGAAACAATGTATCGACGCAATTCAAACACATCAAAAGGAAGACTTGGTCATCCTTGGCTTAATGCAAAAAGTCGCTGGGCCACCTCTCGATCACCCTGGCACAACTGGACTGTTGCAAATCCTCCTCTCACGGACATGCCGGCCGATCCTGGCCCTTCTGAGCGAACAGATAGGACTCAGCTCAACACAACGTGGAAATTTCAGAGGCACTTTCGATGAGCTTTCGCTCGTCAATGATAGGGTGTGGGAAGTTCTTGTTGATTCAAAGATCGCACGTACAATATCCGAGGCCCAGAAGAGCCTGGAGATATTGACCAGTCACTCTGCGGACGATTCCATCTTTTCCACTGTTGTACCCGAATCTTCACCACTAAAGGAACTCGAGGTTGGGTTTACTCTGCTGGTTATTTCAGAACTTCAGGCTCGTGCTATCGCCTACGAAGAGGCTATGAAATCGTTGATATCGTCCGCGGAATCTTCAACATCTACAAGTTCCATCGACACCCCTGCCTCTGAAAGCTTCGATCTCGAGGACTCTGTCAGCATGCAAGCAGAGACCACCAGTGCCTTTCGATTACAAACCAACATTTTCGACGACAGCATTTATGGTTTGAATGAGAGCAACTACGACGAACTCGAAGATCAAGTCTTGATGTATCTCGAGGGACAAGAACCCGAAAACTTGCCTCTTCAGCTGGACTTGCAAACCTCGCTCAGTTTATCGATCACGCCCCTCGTCTCCGCCCAACACAGGCTGCTCTCCTATTCTGTTCTGCGATTGCTGTTCCAACAACACAATCTCCTCGGCCACCTCAATCTGCAGAAGGATTTCCATCTGCTCGGAAGTGCCTTTTTCTCATCTCGTCTCAGCATAGCTCTGTTTGATCCTGACCAGAACAGCGGTGAGGGCAACAGGAGAACGAGTGCCGTTACTGGGCTTCGTTTACATGTACGAGACACGTGGCCACCTGCGGGCTCGGAATTGAGATTGGTGCTCATGAGCATCCTCTCAGACAGTCTCAGTCCAGCAGATCGCGCTTTGGACGATTCTATGTCTTTTGCAATCCGCGATTTGCCGGTCGAGGAGCTCGAAAGATGTCGAGACGTTGATTCGATTCACGCACTTGACTTCCTTCGACTTCAATATACGGCACCCAATGAAATTCTAGGGGCAGTCATCACGCCAGAGATCCTGGACAGATATGATCGAATCTTTCAGCATCTCTTGCGTACGTTGCGAATACAAGCCGCAGCACAAAGTATGCTAAGAGAAGGGTTTGGTCGCCAACCAGAGAAGACACCCAAGAGCAGTCTCTCCGATCACAAGTTTGTTGTTACGATGCACCATTTCATCTCAAGTATTGCAGATTACTACCACAATACCGCGATTGAGGTGCATTGGAGGAAGTTTCAGGCAGTGCTTCGGGCCGCCAAGGCACACCTCGATAACAAAGACTACGGTCAGACCTTGCTCGTGGTGAAGAGTCTGGACCACCTACGAGCATTGCACGCGAGAACGTTGAACAAGATCTTGACGGCCCTCCTGTTGAAACGAAATCAAGCCAAGTCGAGGCAGATACTGGAAGACATCTACGGAGTCATACTTCACGCCGCAGCCGAACGGCGCAGAAGTGTTGGCAAGAATCCCGGATTGACGGACTATGCTACGACTGATGAGACAACGATGAGACGACTACAGAAAGACTTTGAAAGCAAAGTTGCAATATTCATCGACACCTTGCGTGTTCAGGCGCAATCAGTTGGAAAACCGCACGGAAGAAAACACGCTGCTGGCATTGATACCGACGTCGACGCCGATGCCGATGCCGACGCTGATGACGACGACGCAGATGTCAACATGTTTGAGTATCTCCTGTTGAGATTGGACATGTTTGGGTACTGGACGAAATAGCAGACGGGATAGATAGAGGGACCATGCTCATGTTGACTGTTGGAAGACTGACGAGGTGGAGACTCAGCCATAGGAGACTGACTGACTGGCTTTCGCATTTGCTTTGATGAGTATGATACCCCACGCAGCACGACGACGCCTGGCATAAATATGATATATATGTGTGTGTGTGTGTGAGAGAGAGTGTGTACAAGTATATGCAAAAATACAAAATATCCAACATATAGCCGCCTCGAGCGCCATTGCTCTATACTCAGTCGTTGATGCCAAAAATGCGTCGTGAACTCCTTCCTTCTCAAATGCTCTATGAACCCAACCCCTGCTCTAAAACATCCTGCCCAACAACGCCGTCGACACCTTGACGCCCAACCAAGCGGCGCCGACCAAGACGCCCGTGGCGACCAGGAGGGTATTGAGGTTCCTCCGCTCGATGCCGACCTCGGCGGGGCGCGTCTCGTCATCCTCGCCCTTGGCGGTGCCCAGGCCGAACTCGGGGACGTATTTGAACTCGAAGACGGCCTGGTCGCCGGCGAGGCCGTACTTGCCCTCGACGATGACGGCCCAGAAGACCTTGCGCAGGGTGTCGATCTTGCGGCGGTCGAGGGCCGGGATCGCGCGGTACGTGTAGCACAGGCAGGCGAAGAAGATGCACTGGCCGGCCATGAGGGCCCAGTACCAGGGGCCCGGGCGGCCGAGGCCCAGCGCGTCGGCGAGCTCGTTGCCGTTGAGCCAGCGGGCGTTGACTTCGAGGAAGGAGCGGCTCGCGAACGTCGGCGGCTGGTTCTCCAGGCACCGGATCACGTTGTTGGCCAGCACCTGGCTCGTGTTGGACGGGTTGATCTCGTTCATGAGGAGGCTCTCCATCATGCACTTCGCCCGCTCGGGCGTCGCAAAGTACTCGGTCGGCGTGCCCACGTAGTGCGCAATCAGCCGCCACAGCGCGATGTAGTCCTCGACTTCTTGCCGGCGCAGGAAGATGCCCTGCCGAGGCAGCGAGAGGTAGATGATGGTGGCCGAGAAGGTGCCGATCGTGGCGATGCAGTCGAGGTCGTTGATCGGGACCCCGTACTTCTCCACGCTGTAGTAGCTCGGCCGCGTCTTGCACAACTGCATGATCCGCTGCCGCACCGCGGCGTGCAACAGCCGGACTCGCACCGAGCTCGCAAAGCCGGCACCGCCGGGCTGGATGCTGTCGAGAGATCGCGTGCACTCGAGGATGTGCTGTGTCGTTTCGAACAGCCGGTGCCGCGCCACCTTGACCGAGAAGCCGCCCGTGCGGGCGAGGACTTCGACCACCCGGTTGGCGCCCATGCCTCCAAGGAGCGACTGATACGCCAGCCCCGTGAGAGTGGCCGCGCCGTAGCGGTAGAAGACGTCCTGCCCGCGGGAAATCTGCTCCCAATCAACCCAGCTGGGCACCGTGGTGACCTCGTCCCAGAGTTCTTGAAGTTTGGGATTTGACGAGTGATGGTCCCGTAGAAGTAGATAGAGGTCTCGCTTAGGTTTCGGAGACGGTGTCGGCGGTTGAGTCGTACCAGCAGAGCCGTTCATGGACGAACTCGATTGCTGCGAAGGGTGTTCCACACTCTCCGACTGCGCATCGTCTCGCACCTGCGGATCTGCTTGGTTGGGGAGACTGCTGCTCAACCGGTTCAAAATGTCGTAGCACTCTTCTCCAAGAACATCATAAGTGTGTTTCATAGGATGAGCCTGTTCTAGAGTTAGATGGTTAGGTGTTATCTGGAAGGTATATCCCCAGGCTGTGCGTGTGTTTTCATCTCGGCGTCGGAATGGATTTGGCCAGGCCATCTTGGAAAGAAAACTTCGATATAGACGGCATATAAACGACAAGAGGGCAAATAAGATACTTGCGATTTGTCGTAAAAGTCTACCGTTTGTATGTGGCCAAGGGCCAGCCAGACCTGGACGGAATCTTGATGTCAGTCATGATCCGATGATCAAATCGCGAGTCAAGATCTCGCCTAATCTTCGGCATTTCTAGTCATGCAGCATGTTGACATCTTGGGGAAATTTGGCCCAGGCTTTCATCGCCGCGGACGGCAAAGGGACTCTCGACCGTTCATACCAAACTGTCCATAACATTAACTTCGGGGTTTGGGGACGTAGCTGGCGCGGCTGGGACATCACCGTGAAGGCATGATGTCTGTGAATATGCAGACCAGTACCAGGTTGCTGTGCACCGTTAAGACCATCTCGAGACATTCTCGCCCATCATTTCGCCGTGCACACACCGTTTCATACATTCCACCACCGAAACCGCACGTTCCAGTCACACCTCTGTTGACGCCCACTACACGAGCGATAACAACCACCCTGAGGACGTTTCCACCCCAAAGTTGCAACACCCACAAGCGGCGGAGATATTCCTCCCAGACACACGCAGGCGCGCCAGACATTAATAGCCCGAGTGCCCAGGCATCAACGAGAGGGAAAAGCGTACCGCAATACAATGGGCAAAGATCGGTTGGAGGGTACGACCGCAAAAGTGATAGAGAGGGACAATATGAGGACGAAGGCATGGTCGTGATATCTTCAAGGGCCCATTTCCGAGACAGACACGGGCGTCCGTGGTCGAAATTTTCTGACGAGGGTCACGCCGACACAGACGCGGGTGTGGGTATCGGTGCATCTTCAAAACCCAGAAGGAAACCGCGTTTAGAGTTGCGAGACTTGAACGTGAAGCCGCGGAAGAAGCTTGAGCCCTGGCAGACCCAAAAGGTCAGCCTCTCGAAGAAATTTGGTGATGAAGGATGGAACCCGCGGAAGCGACTCTCGCCGGATGCGATGGATGGGATCCGTACTCTCCACGAAGAAGATCCAGAGCGATGGTCCACACCACTTCTTGCACAACATTTCAAGGTGTCTCCAGAGGCAATCCGGAGAATATTGAAGAGTAAATGGCGACCAAAGGATGAAGTTGAGATGCAGAAAAGGAGAGAAAGATGGGCAAAGCGACACGACCGGATCTGGGACCATCAATCTGAGCTTGGGTTGAGGCCAAAGAGGATGAAGGACAGGGAGATGGAGGACCCAGATGCCTTTGACGAGGAGCTGAGAGCAAAGGAGATGCTGGAGAATGCACGGAAAGCATGATTTCAGCGTTTTGGATTCCTGCTGATTCTAATTGATGCTAAAAGTTAAAGCTATTGTCTCTGTTTGGGGATGTGCCTGAAGAGGCCGGTGTACATGGACCAGCGCTGGCCGTCTTCGGCTGTTGTGACTGATGATATCAAAGCAAAGGAACAAGAAAAAAAGAAGGACAAGGAACAGCTCTCCTCCCGGCCATCTGTGTGTCTGTCGATGCACCCCTCGCAGAATCCTTCACTTTCAACATCACGGTGACCGACGCTCGAGTGATAACAAACAGGATAGTCCTTGAGCTCTTGTGTTATATCCCGTGTGCGATCTCTGCTTGGTGTCATCAATCCTTCTCTGTCCCGGTCGCTGTTTGAGGTGTGTCTCTGAGGTGTGTCGATACTGATGACTCTGTGTTCTATTCTGTAAGGCGCGGTTAGCAATGCCCTGCGCTGCCAAGTGTTGATGCCACACTCACTAGGTTTCCTCCTTCACTTCTCAACCTCTTTGTACCAACGAACTTCTCCATCGACTCATCCTTTGACTTTCGATCCTTGGACACGTGCCACCTCACATGTGCCACATGACGACGACGACAGTCGCCATCCAAGCAACACCGAGGATGTGAGGCACAGCCAGCCACTAACTAGCCGATGTCCATTTGATGCTCTTGTACTCTGGCATTGGCTTCCACAGTCCGCTCTTGCCGTCATACTTCATGCTGTCACGACGCTGTGGCATCGTTGGCGGCCAGATGGCATAAATGACAGGTGTGAGGTACAGGGGAATTGTCTCGATGAGTCCAAGCCCCGGAAAGCCAGCCGAAGCGATGAAGCGAAACCAAAAGGCCTTGTCAGCGATGAATTTGCCGTCAATAACCGATGCCTTGATCTCAGACTGGATTCTGAAGATGAACACATAAGACATGATGAAAAAGAGGACCACATGCCACAAGATACCTTCACGGCGATGGAGCATCCAGAGTCTCTTGACAAGAGGAGGACGGTTGTTGATATCTCGTTCTTTGACAGAAGTACCGCCGACACCGCTCACTCCGAACCCAAGACGCAGACCACCAAGCCGCTTTGGCAGCAAGGTTTGAAGAACATCGCGGGAGAAGTGATGACCCATCCAGACTCCGGTTGCAGTACGACGACGCACACTCAGGTAGTATTTGCCAAAGACCGACTTTATATCTCCAATCAGCGCCATCATACGAACGATTGCAAGGAACATGACAGCCCAATACAGTGCATTCTGACTTGGGGTAGCTATGACAGGTCGACCGCGGTAGAGGCAGACAAATGCGAAAACAGAGTTGGCAAGCTTGGTCAATGTCATCAAGTAAGGTCGACAGCTATGGTGCAGCATGGCGATGCGTTGAAGCCGTGTAGCTTCTTTGAGGCGGTAGTCCCACAAGGTGAAGCCCAGTTTGAAAGCGTCACGGATATGTCCAGTCCACTGCGCTGTGTCAGTCATCAACACTTTTTTCTAAGGTCATGTTCACGCTTACCCAACGTCGGCGCTGCTTCAAGTGAGTCAGGATGCAATCTGGCTGCAGCCCCCATTGCAAAACTTCATGAACCAAGACTATCCTCCAGGCTTTTCCATGCAGGAACCAGCTGGTGATGAGATCTTCGGTGATTGAGAATTCTGGGAAACCACCAATCTCAGACCAAGCTTCCTTACGAACGATGAAGCCACTGCCAGGGCACCAGGCGACGTTGACTGAGTCTCGGAGCCCATCATCAGCTGCAGTTCCAGTCGAGTTGGCTTGGTTCAACGGATCATCATTGGGAATGTTGTAGTGATGCTATCACTGTCAGCGCGACGAGCCCCAAACGAGAATGCAGTGACATACTTGAGCGGCAGTGACCATCCCAATTTTTTCATTTTTGAGGGCA